ATCTCAAGAAATACTAACAGTTGTAGGGATGGTAACTTACAGCAAACATTGGGAACTTCCGATAGTTGTCAAGAAAGGCTTGCTTCTTTCTTAACATCATATACTGGCTCAAACACTTACTGAAAAGGTGGCGAATACTAGTATGGCTTGCCAGCATAAGACCACTGACCTAAAAAGAAGCAACATACACAATTCATTATTATAAAATAGGGTGTTATTTTAACTAAAAACATAAATCCGCAAAATTTTGCTTAAATTAACTTTCAAGTGCAAGTATAACAATGAAAGAGAGTTTACAGTGCAGACTTTCTGAACTTGATTATCAAAATAAAATCTGACAAAGGAGAGAATCTCAGATAAGAATTGGATCCCTACCCTATGGGCCGTTTGTACATATGGAGACTTTCTAGACAAAGCAACCTACACAAACAAGCAGAAAGTAAAAGATCAAATATCCAGATAACGTCCAAAAAATTAGATTGATCACAAATTTACTTTCTTGTATTGTGTTAAAACACCTGAATGCTTGCAGGGCCCCATTCAATAAAGTTAACGAGCTTTCTTTCACGTATCCTCTGCAAACTTTCATGAACCTGATTGCATAGAAAAAGGCACAATAAACCACTGTCAAGACAAAAGAAAATAGTAGAAGAGGAACTAAGGTGCTTAACATTCTATAACAAGGAAATTCTGGGTCACATTTCCACAAAAATTCAAGACATTACTATTATAATAAGAGAATCTAGCCAACATTTAGCAGCTATATAGGATAATTGACACAATTTCATTTCAATATTTTCATCAATATAGATTTTGCTGATTTATAAATTACAATAATATTATTATTACAACCTGAGTAGGGTCAACTTCTCCCTGAATGATGTTTAATATTGAGATGTACTTCGCTTGACTAGCTTCTTTTGTTCGAGCATATGAGGAAACCATTATATTTTTTGTCTGCAAAATGAGAATAATGTCAAGGAATTGTTTAATTTTGCTTTGTTGAAGATAAAAAAAAGGTTAATCAAAACTTCTTACCTGCAGAAGTCTTCTCATAACATCAAGTACAGTGGTTTTGCGAATCACATTGGCCTGCCAAGAGGAGATATACATGAATCAAAAAGCTAAAATTATAGTTTAGAAGCATAAAATAAACAAGTAATGTTTGCAACAATATTAGATGCCAAATCAATTCCCCTCTATTTAGACACTTACTCAAGGCATGTGCCTTCACACACATAAGTACTTGGATGTATCAATAAACACACAAATAGACAATATAAGGTTATCAACTGACACACATGAGTGAATCATACCTGGCGCTCAACTGTGAGGGGTGTATACCCTGTCATTAGAAAATGGCATCTTGGTGTTGGAATCAAAGATGCAAGAAGACCAACCAAATCATTGTTCATGTACCCTGGATATCTCAGAGTGGTTGTGCTGGCAGACATTACAGTAGAAACCAAAGAATTTGTTTGAGCAAAGGTTGGATTTGTTAAATGAAGACGCTCAACAGCAATTCTATTCAAGGCAGTGTTATCAAGGACCACAACACAATCAGCATTAAGCGTTAGTCGTTTAAGCGTCAAAAGTGAGTTATAGGGCTGGACCACCACATCACTTGTTTCCATCTGGTTAGGAAATACACTGTATGTCTGAACCAGTTTTTTGCTGTATCGATCATTCAAAGTCTCCAACAGATAGGAACCCATGCCTGCATCATATGTTGTGAATATACTCAAAATATATTCAAGCAATAAAGTCCTTAAAGTACTTCAGAAATCATAAAGAAGGGAACTTGTATTATACTACAAAGCACACCGCAGCCATCAAAGCTAGATTTTGCCTCAAATTTGACCAAATTTTGCCATTGAAGCACATCACATCATATGTAGTAGCTAATTCCCTCTATGAATGATCACACTTCCAAATGAAGGTGGCTTTATATAGCACCGGCGTAAATTATATGCTATCTAAAGTTAAAAAGATTGAAATGTTATATTTTACTTGTTTAACCCAGCATTGTAGTCAAAAGGAAGTATTTTGACCAATCCAACCGAAAAAGAGAAGAAAGTATTTGGACCAAATCGTTATTTACAAGATGATTGGAAAATATAAAAATATAAACACTAAACAGAAGAAAAGAAACCTGAGCCTGTTCCTCCAGCAATAGAATGGCACAGAACAAATCCTTCTAGACTATCACTCCCATCAGCTTCTCTATCAATCATGTCCATTATAGCCTCTTCAACACCCTTTCCCTGAACAGAATTTACAACAACCCCATTTCACTTACAAGGAAACTAAGCACAAAGCTTTGATATCATAAAATTAACAGTATCTACAGAGATTGTCTCTAAACACCTGACTACATACAAACCTGATCATATCCACTGGCCCAATTATTTCCTGCTCCACCTCCATGATCTGAAACAAAGATGTTTTCATGATTATAGAGATTTCGATATTCGCTGTTTTGAATACCGTTAATTACTCTAGGCTCCAGGTCGATCAGCAAAGCTCGCGGTATGTAGTGCTGATCATCAGCTTGATAGAAAAACACATCTTTCCGGTCACCACCCTGTAGATCAATCAAAAGATAATACATATATGTCAAGAGCAGGACTGAAGAATAACTATTTTCAAATATATATTTCCTGATCAGCACTTGATAATATTGCTATGGTGCCTACTGCCTGATGACCCTTACAACCACAATTCAGATCAATAATGCACAGCACCTGATTGATTTCCTCAATTGAACCCAAAATTATTCATTGTAATTGTTTATTATACTACCTGAGAACAAAATTCATCAATTGGGCAACTTTAAATTCATTAATTCTTCAATTCATAACAGAACAAAATCACACTTAAACTAAGCCTAGCACGCTACTCGGCTCCATTTCCCCAACTTCAAATTCCATTTCCTTTCCCAAACAAGAATTTTCTCAGTAACCAAACATAGAGACAAGCTCTTAAGTGAGTGAAGAACCACCTGAGTGGCGAAGTCCTCGAGAATTCCATCTTTGCTGATTCCATGCTCGAGGCAGAGCTGCTTCCAGAACTCCATGCCGATCTGGTTCCCGCATTGTCCGACCTGCAATGTGATTATCTCTCTCGGCATTTTCCCGCAGTTTCTCTGAAAAAAACCTAGGGTTTGTTTGGACCGATGGAAAACGAAAACACAAAAAAGAAACAGAAGAAAATGTGCGGAATACACAACGGCTGTAGTCTGAAGAATGCTAATGAGCGCTTTCGGTCCGGCCAGTTATTTCGCCGAAGCCTGCCACCAAACCGAAGCCGCGACCATTAGTTGTGAAGAGATGAAGATGGACAGATTGAAAGATTTAGAGAGTGAGAGAGAGATGTAACTCGAAATTGGGTGAAATTGGCGACTGGCAGAGTGGAAGAGTGGAAGAGGAAGGAGGCAGAGAGGGAGTAGAGCTGAACTGAGACTGAATTTTTTCAAACACAATTTGCAGCAGGGCTTCCCGGTTTGATTTCCCACTGGACTGGTTCGAGAATTTTTTATTTATTTATTTATAAATTTATCAACCTGGTCCAAGACTTTTAAAACCAAACCCATTTTTAACCGATTTAATATGGTTCCGGTCTGACTTTCTGTCAAAATTGAAGTATATTTGGTTCGGCTAGTTGGCTAAAATAGTAGGTCCACTTCCTGCTTGTAAGTTCGATCTCTCTCCCTGTAAATTAGAGTAATTTAGAATATTACTATTGTCAAAAAAAAATTAATGAAAATCAAACCTAATTCAATCGGAGTTTCCGATTCAATTGATTTCTAGATTTTTCAGTAGGATTGTCCAGACTAGTGCTGCTTATGTACGATTAGTTGGGTACACATGTTCTGAGCTTCATATCAAATGAGATACTGGTTGAATTTAGGATTCTTTGTTGGATATCTTACTACTAGTGAACATCTACGATTAAAATTCTACCAACTTAGAACAAAATAGAGCATAATAATAATAAGGTTAAAGTATATGTTTGCATTGGGATAGGGGATCGTCATATGATTAAACGACCCTTATTTATTGGGTCACTAATTCTTAGTGACGAAAATGACTTAACTTTATGTTATGAGCATTTGGGCTGAGGATAACCTTATTGGGCTTATCATCTGTTTTCTCTGCTTTTGGGCTTTGTAAGGTATGTAAGCCCAATCACGTGGGTGATGAGCGCAAACGACTTTGCATGCTTCTAATCAATACACAACTAGAAGTGATGTACTTCCCTTGTATAGGACCAAGAACAAATCGCGCTTTGCAAGGCGTGTAGCCAATCACGTTGGTGACATACATAAAATGACTGTTTTTCCCTTGATTTGATGAAAAATATAACTGATTATGACATTGGATCAATGGTGTGAGATAAAGTGAAGTTGAGGAATAATATTGGAGTTGGAGGACTAAAATTTAAGTCGGTAATAAATTCAGGGATCATGGGGCTAAACTTGAAATGATCATTGTACCTCTAAATTTAACGGAAGTAACAGAGGACCAACTGTCTTAAAGAAAGTAGAATTGAGGGACTACAACATCCATGTTTAAAGTTCAAGACCGAAAATGCGAATTGAGCACAAGTTCAAGTACTCTGCTCTTATAAACCCTTACATTTATTTTTATTTATTATTTATCTCACACCTATGATTTTTATATGAAAATTAAGTTAAGGTGCAAGCCTTGGCTACAATGAACACCATATATATGCTATGGCTATTAACATATGGTAATTATAGTCATAAGTTTCGACGCAAATTTTTTTTAAGAGAAAGGCGATGAATTGCATTCATCGGAGCAAATTTTTTAGATTACCAGGGTGTGTTAAATTGGTTTCAAGCAATGACCAAAACTCCACTTCACATCACATCGCTAATTGCAGTACATAACTTGTACTTTAATGACTGGTAAATGAAAAAAAGAAGGAAAAATAATCAATCAAAAGTACAATCAACCCAAGCCCCTTATCTAATGATCCTAAGAGGGTATCGTCAGCCTCCCATTGCTTGCGTTCAATTGTGTGAGATTTACCTCTTGAGGAAGAAGATGATATTCGATGCCAAGGTTTTGGAAAATCTTCTTCAATTCAAACACAAGTTCTGATCTTCGAGCACTCTTCTCTCCATAGTTTTGATGGTTCATGGTGTGTTGAACACATAGCGTCATTTTCATCTTGTCCACATTCTCAATCTCCTTCACTATCACCGAGTGTTTTGGGCTCCAATACTTTGGCTTACTCTCAATGTATCTGCATGCACACATTCCATGCAACATTTGTCACTACAAACAAATCTTTAACAAAATTTAAATTTAACATTTAATCGTTTGGGAAAGTTTATGTAGGAAGCACTTATGTTCATAAACAATTTTTTAGAAGTGCTTATAATAGAATAATGTCAAAAAATTTATTAAAAATCCAAATGCTTATCCATAAAGCACAAAAACATTTTTTAAGTTTTTCTCCTAACCGCTATTAGAAGTGTTTTTGGTTGTCAGTAAGAGCTTTTAGCCATTTCAGAAGCACTTTGAAACAAACTTTAGTGGGTTATAGATTATTATGTTGAGACTAATAAAAATGATATAATAAGCCCTAGTGTAGACTAGGAATAACTTTTATTAGTAGTAAATTTTATTTAAATATTCCAAGGTTATGTCGAGCCATTTAACAAGTGAATTATATATAATATGGAAGGTAGATGAGGAGATATGTTACTTACGATTGTATAGACTTCTTGAGTGCAGAAACATCATCAACTGGAGTAGAAACATCAATGGTGAAATCAACAGTGTCAGCCATGTCTGGACTTCTTCTGAAATTACTGATAGGCTTTGTAAGTAGCACAGAATTAGGGTAGTATATTTTCTCATTATCGTATCGTAAGAAAACTGTTGATAAAATGTTCATCTCTTCTACAATCATCTGCAACATATATAAATAAGAACATTAATTTCATCAGAAAGTAACGAACAATAAAATGTGACACAATTTTTCTTCTATCCAAATAAATTTAGGCTCACTTATTTGGGGCATTTAGATTTTATCTTTTGATAAAATAGTTTTTTTAAAATCTAAAATCATGGTTTATTTTAAAAAAAATCGTATTATTTAAGGATAATGATCTAGTTTTTTATTTATCATGTTTATAAAGTAAAATACGAAACGTATATAGTGAGACATATTGGTGAAGAAAATAATCCCAACATTACTTAGACGGTTTAGATAATTGAAATAAAATTGGTAGTGGATATCCTATAAGGTGGCTTGTTTGTTACACAGGACTATCTTGGCATGGACTATGCTTAGGGACTGTCTTGGCTTGGCTTTGTGTAAGTTGGATAACACTTATCCTGCGTTTGGTGTATGCTTGGACTAGGATTAGATTTTTTTATTTTTTTTGAAACTATCTATATATATGTATATATGTACAAATACATATATTATGTATGTGTATATGTATATTATAATATACATGGGTATAATGCATATATATATGTATATTATAATATATAATATATATGGGTATGTTATAATAATATACATGTATATACGTGTGTATATCTATATTATAATGCATACATGAGTATAATATATATACATATATATGTATATATTCGTATATATATTATAATATATATTACATATATGCACGTATGCTATTATTATAATATTGATATGTATATGTGTATATGGGTATATTATAATAATAATATACGTGTATATATGTATATGTATATTATATATTATATATTATATATTATATATGCATATACACATATATTAATATATGTGTATATACGTGAATATATGTACATTATAGTATATGTGTATGTAAGTATAATAATAATAATAATAATATATGTTATTAGTATTACAATATAATATATATACACACACACATATGCATTTTATACATTAGTGAGCATGAGACTAGTTAATCCTCCTTTTCCACATGGGTTTAGTAGCCCCCTCCTAAGGAGGTGTTTTTGGTGGGCCCGGTATTAGCAATCCCATCTAAGACTAGGATTAGATAAAACAAACATGATATTAAATTTAGTCCAAGCCAGTCCTAGTTAAGCCTGTGTAACAAACGACCCCACATCATTGATGAAGAAAATAATTGAGTATATAATATATCTGACCTGCACACCCTCGACCACACAACGATCACCGACATCAAATGGGTGCATCACGAACACAAAAATGATGGACTCGAACACAGTTTTGCACATGTTTTGGAACATGAAGCCTACAAGCAGCAGTTGAGAGGTCACCACAAAGATCACCTTGGTTGTGGCCAAACCCATCACCAAAAGGCTCACCACACTTATGATCACAGTCACGATTCCACTTGCCAACTTGTGGAGTTGATGCACTGCAGTCTTGGTATCATTCAAGGAGTGAGCCAATGCTTTGCGCTCAATATAGGCATGCACCTTCGAAACCATCAACATAGTGTGTCAGAAGATGATCGATGAATTAAGACATGCAAATTAAAGGGTCAAATACTAAATATGATGCAAAATGTGTCTTACAAAAGGTGTTCCTGAGGGACGAACTCATGATTTCAAAATAGGGTGGACTAAATTTACCTTATGTGAAGGGAATTGACAATAAATCGTGTTGTATCGGGTTTGTGTCGTGTCTGGATCATATACTGGGTTATATTATGAAATATTCTTTTGGCCCATTAATTAATCTTTGCATAAGTTCAATTATATTATAGGATTGATTTTGTATCCACAAAAAAAGAAAAAGAAAAAGAAAATGGATAGATGTTGTGACTCACCACCCAGTTTCTGAAGGAAGATTTTGTAATTCTTCCAGTTTCAATTGCTCCTTCAAAGAGAGGAAATGTGGTGTGAATTGCATCCCTCCTCAAGAACCGTAGTAAATCTTCCTCTTCTATATATCTGTAACAAGGATACAGAAGAAAACTTGAGAATGGTATCGTTGACGCCTGATAGGTCCTAGCTCTAATTGCTACCATGCACAATATAATATAAACAAAACTTCCAATTGCATGTACCCAAAAAAGAATACAATAATTTGAATCATTTGATGATGTCGATAGTTATATGCTGAAGAACCAAAAACTACAAATAAAAGTCACCACTAGTACCCTTGCAACCCTAAACCCTAAGCCCGAGGGCGATGATGTCAGCATTGACATCATTAACGTAGAAAAAAATGTTAAAAATAAAAAAACTTCTGAAAATTTCCAAAATATTTAGAAATATTTTTTATACATACCTAGCAATTTTTATTATTATTAATCTAATACATATAAATAAAATTAATCTCATATGAATAGTCATTGGGTTGCTATGGCAAGAGGTGAAAAAGCAAAATTAAAAAGAGGAGGTCAATCACTATTCATGTGAATAGTATCTTCCCTTGCCCTTGCCTTTTGCCACGACACTATTGGTGGAAGTGTTGTTAGAAACCTTTTTCTCCATCCAAAGCCACCAACCACCCTTGGGCCATACAAATGGCCATACTCATAGAAGCACTATCTTCATCGTGGTCATGCTAATGGGCATATATGCGTACGTTGGAATGATTGAATATATGCAGATGCAAGGATCGCCATTGGTAGTTATACTGAATCATATGAAATACAGTGAGTGCCCTCTTATGTGTACCACTACATCCTGCAATCCCTTTTTATATATATATATATATATATAAATTATTTTTAACCATAATTGTTGATTGATTAAATACGTAAAGAAGCTCGAAATTAGGAGGCACTAAGATTGCTCAGTATCATTACTCCTATTATAATATTAATGTACTCATTAAGCATGTCTTAGGTAATTGTTTTTGGCATATATGATATATCTTATGCTACATTTTGACACAAAAATAAGAATTCATTTAATTTCTTTCTCGTGTTGAAAGAAATCCTAAATTCAGATATTACTCGTTTCTTATCGATATAAATAGAATCTTTTGTTCATATTGAAAATCTAACATAAATACCTTGTAACTCAACTAATTAAAGACAACCAATATCACTCGTATAGAATAAAAACATGGTAATCATATGGTAGCTAGGAAGTATAAAAATTTATTCTTTCTTTTGTTGGCCATAGTAACATAAATATTATTAATTGGGTGTGTTGGTAGATGACACTACTGATGCATCCACACCTGTCAGGCATGGAGTAGGAGTAAAAATTAAACGGGTCGGGGGTTCAAATTTGAAAATATAGTCCATGATATTAATCATGACAACTACTCATGGTAAGAATTTAAAGAAAAAAAAAGTAATTCTGAAAAGAAAAAGTAAGAATGGAACCGACTTTTACGATGCTAATGTATGATGAACCATCAGTGTCTTACGCACTTACTAATTTAATTAACATAAACTAATAGAAGGTTGGCATCATGATGATGCATACAGTATGGTTTCGTTATTTGAAAATCACCTAGTGAAAGTGATAGAAATTAATAAAAAAAGTAGTGAAAGTGAGAAAAACTTACTTGGCACCAGGCTTAGCAACATTCTTGAATATCCTTTGAGCACTGTTCCTGGCCTCCCATTCACTTGTGATCTCCGACTCTGCGTTTCCAAAATCATCTATGGTTCTTGAAATCGTCGACAGCCCCGAAGACCTCACATAGTTCACAAGCTTCTTCACGCTCCATGCCGTTGCCCTCCTCGTCATGCTCAACCTTCTAAGCTTCTTCATGTCAATCCTCCTCGACTCGTAACCTTGCCTATTAGACCTCGACACGGCCTGAGACTTGTCCCTCAACCTCGCAGGCAAGGACTTCGAAGCCTGGAAAGGGCGTCGTGGAAGCTCCTCCCTCTCGTCCTCGTCTAGAGGTGGCCCGGAGAGGGCTTCCAAAATGTAGTGGTGGAAAACGCTCTCTTTCATGCGGTCAAAGAATGTAGATACATGAAATGAGGAGGCTAAGACTTTAACAAACAAGATCTTTAGCAACCATATTGTGGCACCAATTAGCACAGCTATTAGAGCACGAAACACTTTCTTGAGGACCTTGCTGTGCTTGTGAACATCGGGGAACATGATCATCCAAGCAGCTAAAACTAGGCCTAACCAAGCACAGTTTTGGAAACTCCTCCTCAAACCAAACACAAAGTATAGTACCTTTTCTCTAAGCATGAAGTTTCTCTCTATGAGGAATACAAGAAACCCAACAACCCAACCAGAGACTAGGCGCCCACAAAACATAACCATGACCATTAGACACCATTTCCATATCTCCAAACCCCACTTCAATTTGTTTATGAGAAAATCTAGGGTTAGGGAGCATACCAAGCAAGTCATGATTATGAGAAACAAAGTCCATTCAATAACAGCTCGCTTGTTTATCTTTCTCTTCCTTTTCTTTCGGTGCTTTCCGTGTTTTCCATCTTCTTCTTCATCATCTTCTTCATTTTCATACCAGTCTTCATCGTCATCGTCGTCTGTAGATGAGTAGTTGTTTTCATAAGGGTTGAAGGGTTGGAGTTCTTCAGATTCGAGAATCGTTCTTGTTGGCAAAGGTTGCTTAATCTCCTCGAACCGTGAGCGGGGCTTGGAGAAGTTTAGGCGTCTAAAAGTTTTCGTTCTTGATTGTGAGATTGCAGTATTAGGATCTGCTTGGGGTGATTGTTTGAGTTTGGGGTTTGATTGGTCTATGGTGACTACCACATGGTCTGTGTTGCTCTTCTGAACATCCATGGCTTGCCTTCAACTCTCAAAGAAGCCAAAAAGACTGGAAGCATCCGAGGGGGAGAGAGAAAAATGAGCCAGGTTTGCCTCTCTAGGAGAACACACAGTATTATTTATTTAATTAAGAAGGAAGGAAACCATCAAGTATCAGACGAAGCTTTTGCCCTCTCTCACTTTCAGTCTCACTCACTCACTCTCTCTCTCTCTCTCTCTCTCTCTCCATGTCCTATTCAACTTTAAGATTGGGAATTCTCACGTTTTAGTTATGGGTCCTTACTTTATGTTCGTGGTGAAGAGTTTTTCATGATTGTGATGTGTATAATGCTTGTTATCTTTATGTTAATTCTATACGTAAGCTATAATTAATTGTCGTGAAACTAATTAATGTTAGGATCAATTCAGAGATTAAGAAAGCTAAAGACACTAATTATGATGAGTCAAAATAATGGGGCAGTAGGGGCACCGCCACTATAGAGGATGAATTGGGTTGCACAATCTAAAAGCAACAATCAAGTACTCTTGGTTGAATGTGACAGGAAGAGATTTAAAAGACTGTAAAATATGCCAAATATCTTCAACTGTAAATGGCATGGTCCATTGAAGTTGGATTCTTTTGGCTAAGAACCCATTACATGATTCTTAATAGTACTTTGGTCATTGTTTTTCTTTTTTAGTGGTTTGAACAATTAAATGATTGTTGTTCGCCCGGAAAAAAAAGACAAAATATCTTTCACAGGTTGGAATGCTTTTTGACATTCGACACCTCCAATATTAACCAGATAAAAAAGGAGACACGTTAGTGTTAGTGTCCACTGTCCACAACACTTTTTCACAATGGGCTGGAAAAACCAACACTTGAAAGTTCAATAAGAGCATTTTCACTCCATTGTGCTATGGTATAGAGCAAAGTATCGATAATGTCTCTGAGTACCTTCTTTAGGGAGGTCAGGGGTTTGAGTCTTGTAAAGATCCTCCTGGGGAGAGCTTTCCGTAAACAACGACCCGACTCAGAGTGGTAGCCCACTAACTACCATTTTGGTTTTGGTTTTTTATAAAGCAAGACAAGTGGGCAAACACTATTCAAGTGAATAGTGATTGTCCTCGCCATTTTTTGATGCATTCCCACTCATTACCATGGCAACCACTATTTACATGAGATATGAGAGAGGAATTTGTATGAATTATGGTGTGGGAAGTGAAGAACATGGCTAGGTATTTTTTTTAAAATGATTTTTTTATATAATTTTTTTTGGTATGTAAATTAGTTGATGATGTCACGCTCAATGTCAGCATGCCTAGGCAAGCCTTGTCTTCGGGCATGCCCGGTTTTGCGGGCCCATTTCTTGTCATGGCAACTTTTCCTCTGTGGAGGTCTTTTTGGAGCCTAGACCCTCTTTTGCTATGACAAAAGGAGATGGGTGGAAGAAGTGTTCTAAGAAATAAAAAGAAATGCGAGAAATGCTTTCTTTTAAGGTCATTAAAATTAGATACCATATTGTTCCTGCTCATGTCAAAGTCATTGTCTGATCGAGCGTGATGGGTTTTAAAGTGGTTTGTTTGTTATATCAAAGTCATTGCCCTGTTGTTGCTGAGTGCGCCTGGCTGATCAGTTTCTTGTATTTTGTTTCAATGTCGTCCAAGTATACTATAATACAATTGCTAGAGTAGCTCACGAGCTTGCTCAATTTCCTTACTCTTAGTTCGTATTGGAAAAGGTTAGAAAATCTTTTTCATTATTTTTCGGCTCATTCTTCTCTTAATCTAGATCAGGTATGAATGCTTTAGAGTTGTGTGTGGCACCTAGTGAAGGGACCTCTTTAGTTATAGATATGCATTTGTCAACTGTCTTGCTCATCAAGAAACACATAAAATAATGATAAGGAACCGTATTTAGCCCTTGAATTATGCTAAAACACCACTTATTCAAAGACGACAAGGTCTGGCTGCAGTTGACTCTCAATTGACACCGAGCTCTTACATTTCTTAATGTCTTAGTCTCCCGCTTGGTCGAATAATCATTAAGAACTAGATGTCGATTACGTTAATAAATGAAGAGCAATATCGAATTATAGGACAACTCGAGTATACAATACTTAAAAGCCCTTATAACCACACATATTACCTCAAAACCACATAAGCAAGGGTGGAGTTAGAATTGTAAGATTGTTGGGAGGCTGAGATAGAAAACACAAGTATATCAAATACATATAAGTGTTCAAAACACATGTTTGAACTAAAATCTTCAAAATTAGTCATGTCTAATTATTTTTAAAGGGGCCATTAATGTAAATTACAAGTTGTCTATTAGTAAGTTGTATATATTATATAATATAATATATGAGAGAGATAAAAAAATTGGGGGGTAAAAGAGGGGGAAGGCCTGCCACTGCACATAAGGATTCCGTCAAGATTAGAACAACATAATTATCATGACAAGACGGTAATTGTTGGCCAAATTTTTTAGGATAATGACACCTTATGAGCTCAAGTATATGTTGAAATTGTCATTATTTGGGAACAACTTTTAAGATTCCTATGTTGCTTTGCAATGATTTGTAATGTTTCATATTTGTGTTCTCAACATCCGCCATAGTAGTGGCCTTTATGAGTATTTTGGTGTTTGAAGAAAAGGTACGTAGTGCCCATTAAAATAAACAAAGGCAGGACATGGGGCATAACTTCCTCAGATAGGCCCATATTCTAAGAAAGAATTGTAGGAAAATTGATATGCTATAATAATAATATAAAAAAGTACAACAGACAAACATATATCTATATGAAATTAAACACTGAGTTTTATAAGAACCTCAATTGAGGCGAGGTAGTGTTGGACACTCTGGTGTATATGGTTCGTATGATATAGCTTCACCTCTCTTTGGGAGAAAAAAGCACTGGCAGGAATAATAATTCTTAAAGACTATCTGGTTCATATGATGTACTAGTCTTTTGGTTGACAATTGGTTTTTGATTTTCCTTTAGAATTAAAAAGGGTAATTGGTAGTTGTGTTTCATAAAAATAGGACCAATTATTTGATTTATTTTTTAATTTTTAATTTTTATTGAATATGAAAAAGTAGAATTTACCATATTATTCTCATTTAATAATAAATTCAATTCTTAATGTTTGCATTAACCAAAGGCATTTTCTGGTATTTTGAATGTTTCACAATTCTCTGCCTTTTGCTTTATATATAGGGAGTTTCACTAAAACACCCAAAATGGGGGTTGAAATTATAAAAAAACCCAAGCACTATTTAAACATATAAACACACCCAAACCCCATCATTATACACACTCAAAACCCATTTATAAACACACCCAAAAAGTTGACTTTGGGGTTGATTTTGGGGTGTGTTTCTATGTTTAAATAGTGCTTGGGTTTTTTTATAAATACATGTCTAGGATTGGGTTATTTATAAATTTGTATTATATATACTAGCCACCAATTGGTTTATTTATTTATTTAAATTATTTGTTTTATTTTAGAATTTAAAAAATAATGGGTAGTTGTGTTTCAAAAAAAATAGAACTCATTATCTGATTTTGCTTTTAATTTTTTATTTTTATTAAATATTAAAAAGTAGAATTTACCATATGGTATTTTGAATGTTTTACCATTCTCCGCTTTTTGTTTATATATAGAAGATAGATGCATATCATAAATTGTATGAATTGATTGCAGAAGGACTAAAAGCTCATTCCAAAGAAGTGTGTCCTAATATGGGTTGCAGACAGCGAAAATTCTAATGTACTTTGAAGTATCAATACATCAAAGTTTTCAACAGTTAGATTTTAATGTTTTAATCCTGTGGTTGGGAATCAATGACTTGGAAACTTGGTAAGGATGTTATGAACTTGTAAATATTAATCATGTGAGAGAGAGGTAGGGTCTTGAAGAAAAAAGCCAGGTGTGCACCATTTGGATCTCCTCCTTCGTCTGGGTCTCATTCGTCTCCTCATAAACCCTAAACTAAATTTATCGACGACGTGAACGAAGAAGACATTTTGAGACATTTAACCGCTTTCAAGTTTGGACATTTTTTGAATGTTTGCCTAAGGTAGAAGCGGTGAAGTATTGACTTCGAAGGATGAAGGCGTCGTAATGGAGTTTGAAGGATGGAGGCGTCGAACCATTCGAAAGTAAGAGGTACGAATTGTAAGCATATCGTGTTATGAGTTATGTAATTACATTGTACACCTCATGTGCAATAGCAGCATGACCTCATGCAATTACATGTTTAGATTACCCAATAGCTTGTTGATGCTATGAAATTGCTTCTTTACATTATGTAATGTTAGGACATATGGTATAATTGTAGCTAGTAGATGAGTTAAGCATAAACTCTTAATGTAGGTATGGAATGCACTGGTAAGACGGCGAAGGGCTTAGAGGCATCAAATCTTGCTTCCATTGATGAAGTCGAGTCACGATGCACGGGTAGTGGACAGTGGGAAAATGTCAACCGAACAATCGATGAGTCAAAGTAGACAGTATAATGGGCTTAATTGGAAGCAATTGAGGAAAGAAGATGTTATAGCGTTAGAGTTAGCAGAGGAATATTACTTAAGTTATGCAAAGACTATTGGATTCAACGTAAGGAAAGATACATTGATTTATAATTAGGAAGGAAAATTAACAAGGAGATGGTGATGTTGTTCAAAGGCAGGTGTGAAAGTACAATGACCTACCAAATAGGGTGCAATCACCTAGGTGGTTGACAAGAGAGAATTATCCATATTTTTTAGTGGTGAATTATGACAAGAAACGTTAGGTTTACATCGTAAAAAACTTTGGACCAGATCACAGTCATGAATTAGCTACGCCATACGAATTGCCTATCTTCGATTGAATTGGGATGTTGCAAAGTCAGATTTAGCCCAAGCAATGACAATGCGTAGAGTTTTGGTGTGACATGTCATATTTATGAGTATATAGTAGACCAAGTAGGCGGGTATTTGAATGTGGGCTTCCAAATAAAGGATCTATATAATAAGTTGGATGCATCACATAGGGAAATCTTGTTGGACAGTGACACTGGCACTGCACTAGCCTACATGAAAGCAAAAGGATCAGTGGATCCTGAACTTTTTTGTAAGTTCAGTGTGGATGAGGAGAATAGGCTTGTTAACTTGTTTTGGAAAGACTCCACTTTTCGATTATGTTGCCTTTGGAGATGTCCTCACATTCAATAGCACATACAAAATCAATATGTACGACAAACATCTAGTGTTGTTTTTTGGTTCTAACAACCACTGAGCTAGTGTAATATTTGCTTGTGTCCTATTACTTGACGAGACCTTTGAAACGTACAAGTGATTGTTAGAGTCATTCATATCTTTCATGAAAGGCAAGAAGTCTATATCAATTCAATACTAATGGATGGGGATGAGGCGAGGTGCAAAGCAATTGAGTATGTGTTGCCCATGTGTAATCATAGGTTGTGTGCATGACATGTGGCAAGCAATGCACAAAATAACTTACATGATGAAGAATTGGTATGAGCATTTAAGCATGTCTTTAGGAACCAATTGCACTCAATGAGTTTGAAAGGAAATGAGAGTTTTTGAATAAAAAAAGTTACTACATAAACAAAAGGAATGGCTTGAAATGATGTATGCAAAACGAGATGCGTAGGTGGAACGCGTGGAGTGTATGAACAAGTTTGTGAAAGATTACTTGAGGAAAGGAGTTAAGTTGTTTAAATGCATTCGGGCAATTGATAGGACCATAACATGTATGAGGAATACTATGGCGAATGATGATTTCGACGCAAAATAGTCAAATAAAGTGCTTACAACAACATTGAAAATTCTTGAGCAACATGTTTTCTAAATTTAAACTCATAGGTGATTTTTATTGGTACGTAATAAGATCAATGCTTCAGCAGCGCTCATCCATGAAAAAATAATTCATAATTTGAAAGACGGTCGTATATTTTATTGAAATATGGTGAACCACAAAGTAATTGGAGTTATGTGCACCATGGTGGGGAAGATGTTCGAATAGAGTGCAACTGTTACAAATATAAAAACAAAGATATCCCATGTTGCCATTTGTTTTATGTGATGAAGTGGGAGCATGTTATAGAAATTCCCTCGTCACTCATAATGAAGCGATGGACAAAGAGTGTCAAAATAGACATTGGACATGCATTTATGTTAAAAAGTGGTAGCAAGGAGGTTGTAAAAACCGCGAGATACATAAGTTTTGTATGGACAACAAAGTGTATTTTTATGCATTGAAGAGTAGAGATGGGTATGGGCTTTGAAGAATGAACTCATTCGATTGGAGGGAATAGTAGAAGGTTTATGGTAGAAAGAAGATGAGATGAGCTTTCAATTGAGTAGTAACGGGCAACTTCCTGCAAACATTGTGAAAGATCCAACCTTAGCAGGCACAAAAGGCACCCAAGTACGAGCCAATAGAACATTCAAGCAATGAAAATGCATGTCGTGCTGCGAAAATGGACACATAATGTGTAATTGCTCTCAAAGAAACATCCATTTGAGTGGAAATGAAGTCATGGATTTGCTTTATGGTAGTCAAAGCTATGAGTATAGTAAGTATATTGGGCCATCACAGGATATAACCAGTTAAACGATTTCACAATCAACATCTAACTGCTTTGGTGATTTTGCCAGAAATGATGTCGAATCTACTATAAGCCCAAGTGGCTCTAGCTGCAACAATGATGACGGTTTCTTATTTGGCACTCATGAATTGATGCAATTGTCCAGTGATTCAATCTATAGTATTCAAAGTTATGGTTCTTTGTTTACATGGAAAAATCAACATTAGAAGTAGATGATGCATTGATGGTGTATAATTCTAGATCACAATCTATCTTTTTTAGACTTTGTATCAACATTTTTAAATAATGAGTATTTGCAGTTCTATGAAGTATATAAATTGACTTGTTTGGAAGTATTTGTAGTATTACATATATGCAATTGCGTGACTGGCCTATGGAAATACAAACGGTCTATGTGCAAAAGTATTTGTTCACCCAGTTATATGAATTAATATGAAATTGCAAGAATAAAAATGGAATTACATGGAAAGTTATGCAAATCACACATGGTATGTGCACTAAAATGGAAGCAAATTCAAAGATCCACATGAAGTAAATGTAAAATCATGAAAGCCAAATTCAAACGTGTGCATGTGCTCAATTCAAATATCAACATTAGAAAGATGAATTTAAGCAAATTACATTGTAGTCAAATTCAAAAGTGTGATTGTGCTCACTTCAAACATCAATATGAAATATATGAATTTAAGCACATCGCATTTAAGCCAAATTGAGAATGAGTTTTCATTTTGGCCATAACAAAATATAAACGGAGTACGAAATGTGAAAAAGAAAAGAAAAAATTCCAAACAATCTCACTCAATGTATAATCGGAAGAGATACAAGAAATGATGAATTTTATTTGTTCTTCTGCCTCTTAGCTCCTGAGCAAGGAATCAAATCGTTTGTCTTGCATTTCGATTACTTAAGAGTAGGCTCCTCGACTGTCCATGTGTTTGTCCCATCCTCATAACTATTCTCTCCAAGTTCGGAAGGCCTATCATCCTATTCATTTTTGTCTTCTTCCTTTTCCTTTTATCCCTCTTCATCATCTTCCTTATCCTCTTCTTCTTGCTCGTCATCTTAACCTTCTTCCTCTTTGCCATCTTCCCATTCAAGCATTGGTGCATTTCCCTATCCAAGTGGGTCATGTTTATTTTTGAATCATTGTTCCTACATATAATGTAACAACAAACATGAAAAACCTTTAACAAACACTTAATTGCACTTAATTTCATGTCTAGTTGTTAGAATAATTTGTGAAATTAGTTAAAATAATTTTATAGTTATGGTATGTTTATCAAATTATGATATGAGTATTAGGTATAAATCTAATAAAAAAATTGTAGATATGGGTATGTTGGGCACGTTATTAGTTTTTTTATTTTATGTACAAATTTTCAAGTTTATGAATTTCTTGTAATAGTAAAGTGTCCAATAATTAACTAGCATAATAATTTATGGTTTTTATGTTTTGTTTCTAATTTATTGATTATATAATTTATTGTTTGATCATGTGTGTTTGATCCAACTTCTTATCTTGTGCCTTGTTCTAGTAGCTACCGGCTAACGACTTCTATGGTTGTTCGTCGACATTCTATAATGGAAGGAAAATCATAAGGCATGAGGAGATTCTAACGACGTCATTCTCTCTTGAGTATGGGAATATCACACCATATGGTACTCAATGATCCAGCTCTACCCAAACAGCACCCCGAATGCCAAGTGCTCTACGTGTACAGTCTAACTTTGGGGAGAGCGAGAACGAGCAACAATTATATGAAACAAATAAGAAATATATAATGAAGAGCCTGCAACAATTAGAGATTTCCCAAAAAAATTGAAACAAAAGAGAAAATACATACATTAGCAATAGCAGGGGTAAGTGGTGGTACAAGTGCAGGCGCAACGATTATTTCAACCGTGCGAGCAACAATAGCTAGCAGAAGGAACCACTTGAACGAATCCATTTTCTTTTGCTTTTCCTTCACTTTTGAACAAGTATAGTGCACAACATAGAATGAATTAAGATACAATATTTATATACCAAACTTTGTTGCTATAGACCAACATAATTCATTAAAAAAATTGCACAGCTATATGAGGTCTCAAAATGGAAAAAAATAAAATATATATATATATATATATATAGGTAAAGATAAAGAGACTATTGGGCTACTATAATTGTCTCAAACTTTCCAAAATAGAACGTTAAGCAACATAAGAACAAATATATTATCCGACGTTTCCACATGTTGGGAAAAATAGAGTCTAAACCAAATCATTCCCGAATGAAAGAGTACCATCCATGCTATGAATAACCCATATAAATTAAGCAATAAGTCTGAGTATTTACACTTATAGTAAACCAGAAAATAATTAAATTACGAATAATATCAAAGTCTTGCCACAATATGGACAAGACACATATAAATGACAATCGGGATATCCACATTTAGGGCAGCTTAGGACACGTGGAGGACTTGAGATAGAGGTGTTGTTGGTGTTGACATGGGTCCATGAGTAGCAGATGGTGAGGGTGCGATATTCCCATAATCCATATAAAAATGCGTCCTTGGAATCTCCCCCTGCTTTCTCATTCGCCATTAACTATATAGTGCGTGCAATCTGGGCGAGAACAACCAGAGAAAAAAATGCCCCGATTACTACCATAACGAGGCAAATGAGAACAAGTTGGATCTTGGTCTTGCTTCTTGGTGGTGAGCAAGTTTGAACAAAACACATAAGTAATTTTTTTATGTAAAATAATAATAATTGTGTTCATGTACAATTGGATATATATTTGAAAAGGTCCAAGGAAAGATAAGACATATAACACTTGGTTCTTGAAAATGTAATGTAGGTGTTTCTTCAAGGAGTAATTGCAACAGTTATAGATTTCCCAGAAACTTGAATGAAACAAACAATAAAGCAACCAAAATTACACAATCTGCTACTAAGATCTGACCTCAAATCTAACTTCGGGGATAGCGAGAGCGAGCAACAATTATATGAAACAAATGATAAATATACGATGAAAAGCATGCAACAATTAGAGATTTCCCAGAAAATTGAAACAAAAAAGAAAATATATACATCAGCAACAGTAGGGGTAGGTGGTGGTACAAGTGCATGTGCAACGAGTACTTTAACCATGCGAGCAACAACAACCAGCAGAAAAAACCACTTGGACGAATTCATTTCCTTTTGCCTTTCCTTCACTTTTGAACAAGTATTGTGCACACCATAGAATGAATTAAGATACAATATTTATATACCACACTTTGTTGCTATAGACCAACATGGTTCATTGAAAAAATTGCATAGCTATATGTGGTCTCAAAAAGGAAAAAAAATATAGGTATAGATAAAGAGACCATTGGGCTACTGTAATTGTCTCGAACTTTCCAAAATTAAACGTTAATTTACATAGGAACAAATCTATTATTCGACGTTTTCACATGTTGGAAAAAATAGAGTTTGAACCGAATCCTTCTCAGAGGAAAGAGTATCACCCATGCTACGAGTAACCCATATAAAAACATGACCTCAAAACTAACTTTGGGGAAAGTGAGAGCGAGCAAAAAAATGTGAAACAAATAATAACATAAGTAATAACAAGAGATATTTAGTAATATACCCATTCTTAGCACTAAAACTATAAATAAACCCTACATCATTTCATTTTTATAAACATACCCAAAAAAAACTCAAAACATGACAAATGGTACTATTAAATTTAATTTTAATTATTAAATTACTTTGATACCCTATTGAGTGTTTTGGGTTTTTTTATGAAATTTTGGGTTGGGTTTGTTTTAAGAAATCAATGGCAATTTTGTAATTTAAAAGAAGTTAAAAGCCTTTTTGTTATGTTATAAATGGGCTTTGGGTGTGTTTATAAATTCCATTTCATATAGGGTTTTTTTATAATTTGGGCTCCTATATTGGGTATATTAGTGAATCTCCCTAATAACAATAACAATAACCTTAACATAAGTAAAAACACTTGTCAAGCTAAAAACAGAGGAGTTCCCTCATTACGAAAGGTGTCTTGTGGATGGAGAAAGACAACATATATTTCAGGTACTAGATCTGACCCTCTAAAATCACCACCCTCTTCATTGTGTTTCCAATTGCTACCTCAAATCTAAGGGGAGAGAGAGAGAGAGAGATTGTGTTTCCAATTGCTACCTCAAATCTAAGGGGAGAGAGAGAGAGAGAGAGAGAGAGAGAGAGAGAGAGAGAGAATGCAACAATAATATGAAGATCACCAGCCAACCTAGACAGAGAACCACCCTACCCAACTACAACAGCCCACCTGTTCCCTCCCTATCTCAACCACTCGCCTGGTGGAGGTGCAGATGCAGATGCAGCTATTATTTCCACAAACTTGAAAAACAAAAATATGAAGATTTACCACAAAAAATAATGTGAAATTTACCACAAACTTGAAAAACAAAAAACAAAAACGAAATACATACATCAACGGCGGCGGCGGGGTTGGGTGGAACATCAGCGGCGGAGGGGTTGGGTGAAGGTGCAAATGCAGATATTATTTCCACTATGAGAACACTAGCGAGCAACAACATAAACGATTTGGAAGCAGCCATTTCCTTTGCTCTTCCTTGAAACAACTGTTCATTGAAACAAATGACAATTTTATACCAACATGTTCATTGAGATCTCAACGAAAATTTCCAAAATAAGTTGGGAATTAATGAATTACCTTTCCTGTCTATTTCTTCTTTTGCATATATGAATTAGATTAGGTAAAATATGTTCTACTCTACAAACTGGAAATTTCGTCTGAGTATCAGACATTTCGGATAGGTTTTTGGTCAATCTTGAAGCCAACAAAGAGAGGGAGAAGGAAGGATTCGGAGGGAGAAGGCGGCGGCGGGGTTGGGTGGAACATCAGCGGCGGAGGGGTTGGGTGAAGGTGCAGATGCAGATATTATTTCCACTATGAGAACACTAGCGAGCAACAACATAAACGATTTGGAAGCAGCCATTTCCTTTGCTCTTCCTTGAAACAACTGTTCATTGAAACAAATGACAATTTTATACCAACATGTTCATTGAGATCTCAACGAAAATTTCCAAAATAAGTTGGGAATTAATGAATTACCTTTCCTGTCTATTTCTTCTTTTGCATATATGAAATAGATTAGGTAAAATATGTTCTACTCTACAAACTGGAAATTTCGTCTGAGTATCAGACATTTCGGATAGGTTTTTGGTCAATCTTGAAGCCAACAAAGAGAGGGAGAAGGAAGGATTCGGAGGGAGAAGGCGGCGGCGGGGTTGGGTGGAACATCAGCGGCGGAGGGGTTGGGTGAAGGTGCAGATGCAGATATTATTTCCACTATGAGAACACTAGCGAGCAACAACATAAACGATTTGGAAGCAGCCATTTCCTTTGCTCTTCCTTGAAACAACTGTTCATTGAAACAAATGACAATTTTATACCAACATGTTCATTGAGATCTCAACGAAAATTTCCAAAATAAGTTGGGAATTAATGAATTACCTTTCCTGTCTATTTCTTCTTTTGCATATATGAATTAGATTAGGTAAAATATGTTCTACTCTACAAACTGGAAATTTCGTCTGAGTATCAGACATTTCGGATAGGTTTTTGGTCAATCTTGAAGCCAACAAAGAGAGGGAGAAGGAAGGATTCGGAGGGAGAAGGCGGCGGCGGGGTTGGGTGGAACATCAGCGGCGGAGGGGTTGGGTGAAGGTGCAGATGCAGATATTATTTCCACTATGAGAACACTAGCGAGCAACAACATAAACGATTTGGAAGCAGCCATTTCCTTTGCTCTTCCTTGAAACAACTGTTCATTGAAACAAATGACAATTTTATACCAACATGTTCACAGAGAGCTCAACGAAAATTTCCAAAATAAGTTGGGAATTAATGAATTACCTTTCCTGTCTATTTCTTCTTTTGCATATATGAATTAGATTAGGTAAAATATGTTCTACTCTACAAACTGGAAATTTCGTCTGAGTATTAGACATTTCGGATAGGTTTTTGGTCAATCTTGAAGCCAACAAAGAGAGGGAGAAGGAAGGATTCGGAGGGAGAAGGCGGCGGCGGGGTTGGGTGGAACATCAGCGGCGGAGGGGTTGGGTGAAGGTGCAGATGCAGATATTATTTCCACTATGAGAACACTAGCGAGCAACAACATAAACGATTTGGAAGCAGCCATTTCCTTTGCTCTTCCTTGAAACAACTGTTCATTGAAACAAATGACAATTTTATACCAACATGTTCATTGAGATCTCAACGAAAATTTCCAAAATAAGTTGGGAATTAATGAATTACCTTTCCTGTCTATTTCTTCTTTTGCATATATGAATTAGATTAGGTAAAATATGTTCTACTCTACAAACTGGAAATTTCGTTTGAGTATCAGACATTTCGGATAGGTTTTTGGTCAATCTTGAAGCCAACAAAGAGAGGGAGAAGGAAGGATTCGGAGGGGGAAGGCGGCGGCGGGGTTGGGTGGAACATCAGCGGCGGAGGGGTTGGGTGAAGGTGCAGATGCAGATATTATTTCCACTATGAGAACACTAGCGAGCAACAACATAAACGATTTGGAAGCAGCCATTTCCTTTGCTCTTCCTTGAAACAACTGTTCATTGAAACAAATGACAATTTTATACCAACATGTTCACAGAGAGCTCAACGAAAATTTCCAAAATAAGTTGGGAATTAATGAATTACCTTTCCTGTCTATTTCTTCTTTTGCATATATGAATTAGATTAGGTAAATATGTTCTACTCTACAAACTGGAAATTTCGTCTGAGTATCAGACATTTCGGATAGGTTTTTGGTCAATCTTGAAGCCAACAAAGAGAGGGAGAAGGAAGGATTCGGAGGGAGAAGGCGGCGGCGGGGTTGGGTGGAACATCAGCGGCGGAGGGGTTGGGTGAAGGTGCAGATGCAGATATTATTTCCACTATGAGAACACTAGCGAGCAACAACATAAACGATTTGGAAGCAGCCATTTCCTTTGCTCTTCCTTGAAACAACTGTTCATTGAAACAAATGACAATTTTATACCAACATGTTCATTGAGATCTCAACGAAAATTTCCAAAATAAGTTGGGAATTAATGAATTACCTTTCCTGTCTATTTCTTCTTTTGCATATATGAATTAGATTAGGTAAAATATGTTCTACTCTACAAACTGGAAATTTCGTCTGAGTATCAGACATTTCGGATAGGTTTTTGGTCAATCTTGAAGCCAACAAAGAGAGGGAGAAGGAAGGATTCGGGGGGAGAAGATGGCGGCGGGGTTGGGTGGAACATCAGCGGCGGAGGGGTTGGGTGAAGGTGCAGATGCAGATATTATTTCCACTATGAGAACACTAGCGAGCAACAACATAAACGATTTGGAAGCAGCCATTTCCTTTGCTCTTCCTTGAAACAACTGTTCATTGAAACAAATGACAATTTTATACCAACATGTTCATTGAGATCTCAACGAAAATTTCCAAAATAAGTTGGGAATTAATGAATTACCTTTCCTGTCTATTTCTTCTTTTGCATATATGAATTAGATTAGGTAAAATATGTTCTACTCTACAAACTGGAAATTTCGTCTGAGTATCAGACATTTCGGATAGGTTTTTGGTCAATCTTGAATCCAACAAAGAGAGGGAGAATGAAGGATTCGGAGAGAGAAAGAAGAGGAAAGAAGGAAGAAGAAGAAAAGATAGGATACGCTGGCCACTGCGTGTGAGAAGGGAAGAAGAAGAAGCTACCATTCTTGGTAAATGTCAGAGAGAGAGAGAGAGGAATTTTGAAAGTTTTTTTGTTTTTTGGTAAATAGGAATTGTGACATAGTTCAGTGGTCATAGGATACCATTTTTGCAATGTGGGCCCAAGCTAAGACCATCATATCCCTGGGGCTGGCCTCTGCTCCTTATCTTTTAATTTTGTTTTTTATTTTATTTTGTCTTTCTTCTCATTGCCAGTCTGTCTGTGTATTTCAAGTTTTGAAATTGCGAACTCATTAATGGTTGGAAGGGAGATTAATTTATTCTATAACTGAAGTATATTGTAGTGTTTGATAAATTAAATAGAAAAGGTTTTTAAATTTTTTATTCAAAAAAAATTTAGTAGTGCCCAAAAATGTTATTATTTGTTATATAACTAAGGGAAAAATTGTAGAGAATTAGAAAGTAGAGAAAGACAATAAAAATTGTTCAATCAACTTGTATATCTCATCTTGATTAGACCTCTTAATTATAGGCTTACAATGGTAAGAAAACATTAACAACTCATAAGTTACAAGCCCATAACTATGGTATTTAGTGCATAGGTTACATATAATTAGAAAGGATGAATGCTAAGAGGTATGATGGTCATCCACCAACTCATGCATTTACAACACTCCCTCTTGGATGTCCATCATACAAAATGACATAGTCCCCTCATTAAAAACCTTGCTTGGAAAACCCAGTGCGACAAAACCGAAGTGAAGGGAAAAAAAAGTGAAACTTTCTTCTGGATCATTGATATGGGGTTGGATGCGCTTATGTTGCATTGTTAAAACCTTACTAGAAAAAACCAAATGGGACAAAAACCTAGTCAAAGGGAAAAAGAGTACAACGCGCATATGATTAGAGGAGAGAAATAGGAATAAGTGATAAAAACATTCAAACTAATTAACACTGAAGTTCTCTCACACAACTTTTCTGTTACCTGTCACATTTGAAAAAATATATCTCTATTAATTTCATCTATATTAACAAGTTGAGTTGCTATGGATCCGAGGAGGGAGAGTCTTGTGTCGAACGATAAGTTGCAGGGTTTTGTGGAGGTCATATATTCAAAAGAAATACCATTAAGAATTTATCAATAAAAAATAAAAACGAAATAAATCCTTCGGTGTATTAGCATCATGTACCGCATTTTATTTTTATAAACGAGAGTGAGAGGAATCAAGCATAAGATGTCTTTTAATATTAGGCAGAATCTACTTACAACACTATTAGAAACAAATATGATTTTATTAGTCATGTTACTTACTTGCCTTTTGTCCATGTAGTCTTTGCCGACCAATAGAATAGGAATGTCTTTGTCCACTTCGAGATTTAACTCTTTATAAAATTCAAGAAGATTTAACCGAACTTATAATATGGCATGGCCATCTCCTAATTGAAGACAGATTAAATTCAGTTAATTGTTTTTATCACGTGATTTCATATTTTCCCCTCATTAATAATCCACATGCTTTTTTTTCATTTACAATGGTATAGACATGCTTTAACTAATTAGAATTGGGTTTGCAAAATTGCAAGAAGATTTAAATTGAATTTTGTATTATGATCGTGCGAGCAAATAATTGGTTTCCTTAAGCCCAGTTTGGCATTGTTGTGCTGTGAAAATAATCGCTGTCAGATTTGCTGTGAGGGAAATCAACTGTGTGAGAAAACAGTTTGGTGTTTGGTAAACTTTTTGTTAAAAGTGTTGTTGGTACTTATTCCCACATAATCAGAAAATGATTGCTGCATAATCATTAACTCCGGCGTCTTTTCGAAACTGATTCCTGCATAATTAGAAAATGAACACACCTTATTAGCTGCTTTCCCTAATAGCTTTCTCTCACAACAATTTTTAACAATAAGTGATTTTCTCATAGTTTATCAAACGGGCTGGGCTTCCCAAATTTTTTTTTAAAATCACTTATCACCCTAAATAAGTAATGTCAAACTGGCACTTAGTCTCCTAACAAGTTCAACTATAGAAAGAGACAATTAGCAAATGGCAAGTGAAACAAACTCATCCATCATTCAATCTACCAGTTTCTTAAGAAAAAAATTTCAAACCAAAAAAGAACATAAACAAATTATTTAGGATGTAAGCCCAAACAACAAAATAATTGAGAAAGAAAAACCCTAGCCGCTAAGAGTGGGAGAAAGAAAAAGAGAGAGAAAACTTCATATTCAAGGGTTTTTTTTTCTCGGATCCCATTGGATCTTCGGTGTCTCTGGCTTTAGATAGACCTATATCGATCTACTCTTCTTCTGAAAGATCTATTGTCTCAAATCCTGATTGACTTTGGTTGTGCCTATTCTTTTTATACTATAATATTCAACATCAACTTATATCTTTCTTCTTTTTTTTTCGTTTACCCCAAATTATTATTTTCTCTTGCCAAAAGAATGGACTTTTTCCATGTCGTAAGGGTGTTATTTGTTTTAGAAGAAAGAGAAAGCAAGCTAAATTTGTGATGTAAATAGTGTCTTTGAAAACTGATGGCATTTGCAACAATTTAGAGCCACTTAATTATATTATATTAGGATCCAAAATATACAAAAAGACAATGTTAGAGTAAAGCTAGTCCTATTATTTTCTCGGGAATTATATCAATACTAGAATCAGTTTTGTTTTATTAGAAATGATGGACCAAAAGATTAGTCAAACAACATGGGGTACAACATTTTCATATTATATTTTATTCTGCAAAAGAAGGTATTTATAATACAAGGTTGTAAATCCTAATAGGGTTATACAAGTAAACAAGATAAAATCCTAATTACACAATATCTGTACAAAAGAAAAGAAATAAAATCCTAATTATCCAAGATCTCTCAACAATCTCACTCTAATCCAAGCGTAGCAAATAGCTCTGCTTGCATAGCTTTCCATCAACATACTAAGGCTCCGTTTGGGATTGCTTTTTTCCGCCAAAAACCTGCTTCACTTTAAAGTTAAGCAGTCTAAGGTGTTTGGTAAAAATAAAATATCCTGATTATTTTAAAAGCAGTGGCCTTTTGACAGCAGCTTTTAAAAGCAGGCTATGGGTTGCTTTTCAAAGCTGCTTTCAAAAGAAGCAGAGATGAACCTTTAATAAATTTATTAATTCCCAAAATACCATCATTCATTTTAAAAAATAACACCACCTCCACTTCCACATCCAACTCCACCACTTACACCACCACATTCACTACCTCCACAACCACCGCCATCGCCACCACCACCACCAACACCACCTCCTCCTCCACCACCACCAACTCCACCTTCACCTCCACCACAACCACCACCACCAACTCTACCTTCACCTCCACTACCACCACCACCACCACCACTACCACCACCTCCTCCAAAACCTTTACAACTAACACCACCACCACCACCATGATGCCACCTCCACTACCATGCTGTCACTACCACCACCTCCACAAGTGCCATCCCTACCACAACCACCAACTCCACCTTCATCACCACCACCACCACCACCTCCACTCCATCACTACCACTACTACCGCATGATTAGTACATAACACTTTTAACATCATATCTATTTTAGTCATTATTCACAGTTACAACAATTTTATATTAAAACTTACCAAACGGTTTTGACACTGCTTTTTGTACTAACAACACTTTAAAAATATTGTTTACCAAACATGGAGCTGCTTTACTTTACAGCTAATTATTTTCAAAGCACAGCAAAAGCAACTTTTTTCAAAAGTGATAGCAATCCCAAATTTGGCCTAAAACTGAATAATGTTGACTACTATCGTATCCAAGACCATAAAAAATTTGGGCCCGTTTGGTTCAAGGAGTCAATAGTACAAGTAGTTAAGTGGTTACAAGAATAGATACTTCAACGTAAGAAATATATGACAGAAATATGTGAACAAAAAAATAGCAAGAATGCTTTTTTTTTTTTTTTTTTCCTTTTTTTTTCCTGGTTTGGCATGTGATCTAATTCATCATCTACCCTAATCCTAACCCTAACCCTTTTTCATATTCCCTTACTACCTGGGCTAGACCCAAACCTTATGAACTGATTCAACTTTTACTATGTAAACTATTGCAATGAACAGGAGTTCAAACAAACTGAGCTTATTATTATTATTATTATTTTTCCTTTATGAGTTCCTACTCATTACATCTAACTAATGTTTAAAAACATAGACATTCTTGTCTAAAGTTGGCTGGGAGACAACTGAGTTAGATTTAGCATAGACTAAATAGAGAGCCTAGAGTTTTAACTTTTAATATATGGGTGCCATCCTCTTTCAGCTACATCAGAATTTAATTCGGGAAAATGCTGCCCTTCAAGCAAATTCTTATTGCATTCTCCCTAATTTAGGAAATTGTGCATCTAACTCCTATATAGATGACTTTAGCACTTTGAATGCAAGATAATTGCTCTTAACTACTTATTTACCAAGGAAAGAATTCAAAATTTAAATTAAGAAATTCAATTACAAGGAAATAATGCATTAAATTTAGATTTTAAATGTGCTTTCTTTATTTACCTCAAAGGATAAAATTGACACAACAAAAAAAGTAATAAATGTCAAAGGACCTACATCTAAAACAAAAGGGAGAGTGCTAGCAACCTTCTCTCTAACCTTCTCTTTTGAACTTTCTCTCTTCTTCTCATGACAAGTGTCAATTTCCTTACACTTAAAACAATGTCATTAATGCATCATACAAACTAGTTTTTGTTTTCCAAGTTTACCCTTATTAAATGTATTATTATTTTTTTTAATAACAAGCTAATTTTTTTTTACAACTTTCTTACCACCTTGTTAAAAAATTAAATAAGAAAATAAAAACTGAAGTTTTTTACTTTATTTTATTTTTCCAAAGAGAACATGTGTTTTGTTAAAAACAAAATAAAGATGATAAGAATATCATGAAACAAACTTTATTTAAAAATATATATGACGTTTTTCTTATTTTTTATTATTATTTAATTTTTAACAATATGCTAAAGAAGTTGTAACAAAATTTGAATAAATTGAAGGAAATATAAAAGCCAATACATTTTAAAAGGGTAAACTTGGAAAACAAAAACTAACTTGTGTGATGCATTAATGACATTGTTTTAAGTGTAAGGAAAATAACACTTGTCACGAGGAGAAGGGAGAAGGTCCAAAAGAGAAGGTTAGAGAGAAGGTTGCTAGCATTCCTCAAACAAAAATGAGTGGACTAAACCCAATGACAACTAATCATTTTAGACCTACATCCAAGAAGCCCAATGTTTTATTACATGTAGCATGAGATGATGATCCATCTCGTAGAGTAAATTATTATTATATGATTAACGGGGATATGACTCTTGACGTCACCTTGGAGGGCATTATTTTTGACATTTTGGGAGCTTGCTCAACAGTTAGAGCAGGTGAAGTTTTCGTTTACATCTCGTAGAGGGAACAAAGCAGGACATGAGGTTACTCGCTTTGTCACTCGTTCTGGAGGTTCCCATGTTTGGGATGTGATTTGGCCACATTGGCGGTTTAATGTACTAGCTGAGGATGCAAACCTTGATTTACGTCTATGAATTAAATTTCCCGAATTTTGGCACAAAAAAAAAAGTTAATTATTGTATGATCAATTTCTAAGATATGTAATATGTTAAGAATTTATCGAGAAAAAAGAAAAAAGGGAGGCATAATAACTCTTGTATCATTAGACATATTTGACAAAAGAGGTTTTGTAGAAATCTTAGTTACATCTAAGCAATCACCTAACAAAAAACTTAAATAAAAGAAACCCAGTTGAATTATAACTAGAAACAAAATAATAGTCCAGACTAGACAAAAAGTACAATTATCCAATAATAATAGGCATGTAAGGGTTGTCTAACTCTCTCACTCGAATGCCCACTCGTTCTCCTTACGAATCTCCTTTTCTTCCTCAGGCGTAAAATCATTCTCGATGTTGAAGATCACACGGATCTCTTCAGGTGTCTTGTCCTGGATCATGTCCGCCACAGTCTGGCAAGTCAAATCCAATAGGCTCTTGATGTCCAGATAGTTTGCAGCCAAGATTAAGTCAAACAGCTTGCTCAAGTCCACCTTCACGAACTCAGCGTCCCAGCTCTTGAGACTCTCTTTGTTCTTGACATCGGCATCCTCTTCATGGTGCTTCTTGCAGTACTCGATCACCTTTGCTAGGGCGCTGCTGGTCACATTTGACAGAGGTATCACGTCGTCGGCACAGTCATCCTCCACCATGTGCTTGATGGTCTGCGACTGCATGGCCACAGCCACCTCCACCTCGAAGGTCTGGTTGTCGTCGCTCTTTAGGGTTATCTTCTTCATCTCGTCCGAGGCCATGGTTTTGGTCTTTGTAATATTAATATAAGTCTTTAAGTTGAAACTTAGGAGAGTTTTTCTTTTCTGGCTTTGGAAGTTGAAGAGTTGAGTGATTTGAGTTTCAAAGACTTGGCTTTAAGTTGACAAGCTTCAAGCTACCGTTTGGATTGCTGTTTTTCAATGCCGACTTTTTGTATCACATGTTTTACTATTTCTTTTACCCACCAGCATAATATTGGAAGAAACGCAGCTCAAACCCTCAATCATATCCATATTCATCTGTACAAGAGCTCTTACTCAAAATTCATAATGTTAGCCTCCTGATTATGCTAGTACATGACTGAACTTCTTATCTGGTCTAAAGTCCAAGCATAGTAATGTAATTCTTAAATACATGAAAGAAAAATAGGCTCTTGTTTTCTCATTTAGTAAACTCCCAATCATTACAACATGAGCCCTGAGTTTTATCAAACCTGAACTTTTTGTTTTTTTCTTTTCCTTTTCCAAAGGAGGAGAAATCTATGGATCCCGAACCTCTGCATTTTCCCGCATTTCACAAAATGTTGAGAGTTAGGCTACGTCATCTATTATAAATTTTGTGTTTTTTTTTTCCAACAAAATTGATGGTATCGTCTTTCCTTTACATCCCTATATCTCTGTCTTCTATTAGCTCCTATCTCATCGCTATTCAGCCAAAACCCATTGTTTGCTTTGCAACTTATCAATATTCCTCCAATTTATAACTTTTAGCTTTCATAAAAATACTCAATTAATTGCAATACCGTTTATTATAGCCACTACCCATCTTTTGTAATACCCAATTGATTGTTATTTGGAATTCAGCCAAATTCACGAAACGAAGCGGCACTCTATATTTGGATGAAATGATAAACTACACAATTAAAATGTACAAATATGGGTATGTCAAGCAATTCGTTCATCCTCGAATTTTATGGCTTCATATGAACTTACTTTACAAGCAATATTTTCAGCTCACATATTTAATATCTAAATGAGTCCTAAACTAATACCCTCAAGGCTCTCTCCAAAAGATAACCTGCAAAGAAACATTTATCAAGACTTATTAAACAACCCCAAGTAATTAATATCTAAATGTTGCCACACTATTATTATTGACAATCGATTAACATAAGGAACATGTAATCAAAAAAGAACAAGTTTTTGCAAATGACCCACCAGTGTAGTGATTTCGAGTTCTAGCATCCTTGTAGTATGTGTATATTATCGCCACTATCACAATATAAAAAAAATCAACAAAAAAAAAAAAAAAAAAAAAAAAAAAAAAAAAAAAAAAAAGAAACCTAACTAAGAGACTGGAAACCTCAACCTTATAAGGGAAGTCAACCCTTCTTACATAATTGAATCCATAATTGATTGTGTTTCTGGTCTGACTTTATTCTTACCTAATAGGTTTTGGTTTCCTTGTAATATGTACTGATGTGATTTAGCACTACACTACTAAAAAAAGGCTCAAAAGAGACTGAATGCTATCAGTCCCTTTTGGCTTCTTTAGGGACTGAAAACAGTACCTATTGATAATATTAGGTACTGATATATATCAGTGTCTTTTAAAGGGGTTATCTATTGATAATGTCACTAATTATAAAAATCAGTGCCTAATTTTTGCAATGGGTCCCACATTCCTAGCACCCAATACGGGTACATCAATATCCCAAATACATTCGTTCCTAATATAATCAAAAGGCACATAATGCTCATCAGTCCCTTATTGAAATAGAAAAGCATTTTCATTATTTTGATATATTTAAATTTATTTGGTGTGTTTTTATATTATTTGGTGTGTTTTTACAAAAGGGAAAGAGAGGGCCACAGCCTTCTATATTCTTTATGTTTGGAGATATATTGTTGCGATGGATTGAAAAGTCTACCCAGTGGGTTAGCAATAACAAACTGCCTCACCCACTTGACGTCATTGAAAATCGGTGGCTTTTGGAAGGAGCTGGATTCATTCCCTTATTGAGTCATTGATATCCATAACAAACTTTCCCTTTCCTCTTTGTTAGAGAGGCCATCAGCCAACTTTCTTTTCCTACTATAACAAGAGATTCCTTAAACGAGAAAAAAAAATTTATAAAATATTTCTCTCCTCCTTTTCCTGCATCGACAAGGTGGTAGCATTATAGGCTATAAAATCACTCAAAGTCTCTCAACCTTTGCAACTCAAATCACTCAACCCCTCCAACTTCCAAAGCGAAAAAAAAACTCTCCCAAACCCAAGTTCCTCTTACTCATCCCCATGGCCTCCTTCCTCTTCCTCCCTTTCCTCTCCCTCACTCTCTTCCTCTCTCTCACCTCCGCCGCCCGTAATCTTCAACCCCGCATGCACGTCACCGCCCCTATCCCTTTGATCCAGCAAGTCTGCAAAGCCACGCAATTTCCCGACACTTGTCAGGCCTCCTTAGCCGGGCTCGCCACTGACCCAAACACCACCCCAATCCAAGCCATCCAATCCTCTATCAAGGTCTCCACCGATGACCTCCACACGGCGCAGAAGATGGTGAAGGCTATTCTAGACTCGTCCGCAGGTAACCAAAACCGCACCACCGCCGCTAACAATTGCCTCGACGACCTCGGGAACTCCCGGTACCGCATTTCGCTGGCCACTGACAACCTGTCACGTGGAAGCATTAAAAACGCACGTGCCTCCATGAGCGCCGCGCTGCTCTACCAATACGACTGCTGGTCGGGTCTCAAGTACGCCAACGACACCCAGATGGTCAACGAGACGATGGCGTTTCTCGACTCGCTGGCGGGAAAGTCCAGCAACACCCTCATCATGATGTTCTCGTACTACAACTTCGGAAACGACACCAAGTTGTGGACCCCGCCCAAGACCGAGCGCGACGGGTTCTGGGAGCGGGTCGAGGGCAGAGGGTCCGGCCAGGAGGTTCGGGGAGGAGTGCCGTCGAATTTAACAGCGGATGTGACGGTGTGCAAGGAGAAGACGAAGAAATGCTACAGGACGGTGCAGAGGGCGGTGAACGCCGCACCGGATAACGCGGGAGAGAAGAAGTTCGTGATTCGCATAAAGGCTGGGGTGTACGACGAGATCGTGAGGGTGCCCTTAGAGAAGCGGAACGTGGTGTTTTTGGGTGACGGGATTGGCAAAACGGTAATTACCGGGTCGTTGAATGTGGGCATGCCAGGAATCTCCACGTACAATTCTGCCACTGTCGGTAGGTTATTTGCGTAACTTTTTATTTTTATTTATTACAAGTTTTTATTATGCTTTGAAAGTAAAGGTTCTGATTGTTTCTTATTATTTTTCAGGTGTTCTTGGAGATGGGTTCATGGCCAGTGGTCTCACAATCCAGAACACAGCAGGCCCTGATGTCCACCAAGCAGTAGCCTTCAGATCAGACAGTGATCTCTCTGTGATTGAGAACTGTGAAATCTTAGGCAACCAGGACACTCTCTACGCACACGGCAACCGCCAGTTCTACAAGTCATGCAACATCCAAGGCAACGTCGATTTCATCTTCGGAAACTCAGCTGCGGTTTTCCAAGACTGCAACATCCTCATCCGCCCTCGACAACTAAACCCCGAGAATGGAGAAAGTAGCACCGTCACAGCTCACGGCAGAACAGACCCTGCACAATCAACTGGTTTCGTATTTCAGAACTGCTTGATCAATGGCACCGAAGAGTTCATGAAGCTGTATCAAAACAACCCCAAAGTGCACAAGAGCTACTTGGGGAGGCCATGGAAGGAGTATTCAAGGACAGTTTTTATAAACTGTACCATGGAAGCTCTTCTTTCCCCAGATGGGTGGATGACTTGGAGTGAGGATTTTGCTTTGAGCACCCTTTTCTATGGGGAGTTTGGTAATTCTGGAGCTGGTTCTGATTTTTCCAAGAGAGTGCCCTTTAGTAGCAAGATCCCATCTAAGCATGTTAATGCATATTCTGTGCAGAATTTTATTCAGGGAAATGAGTGGATTTCAACATGAAAATTTGTAGGGATTTTGAAATCCGTTATTAATAATAGCAGATATTAATTAGTGAATGTACAAGGAAACTCATCTTATTGTCAAAATACTTTTTATTTAAAGTACTAAATTTTTTTTTTTGGTAAATACCACGAGGTGTTCTCACACCCGAATGGTAGGACTAATCCCCGCTCGGAGTTTGACTTGCACCTGGTGACAAAGTGCTCCCAACTAGTTTCGAACCTGACGCAGCACAAGCAACAAAGGTTTCAAACGAAAACCTTGAGTAACAAGAAATCTGGATTCCACCAGTAATTAAGAGGAATTCTCTTGGAATAATTTTATTAAAATCTGATATACTGAAAACGTTCACCAACTCTGACTAAATACACATCTCTCAACCCTTGAGCTGCTAGGGGAGTTATTACATTAAAACTGAAAAACAGAATTTATTCCGAAAATTAACTACGAAACTTTGAATGCCGTTTTGGAAGACCAAACGACCTCAGAATGCCAAAATCCATCATACATCACGGAAAATCCATGAGTTTGACTCGTGGCGTCGTTCCCTTTCCGAAATGGTATTTTGCGTCCTAATCGGAGCTCGGGCGACAAATCTGCAAATTCCCGCTACGTCCTTTTTCTAGCTCAACCGCGATAAAATCTGCCATTGTTCTACATCAGTCCCCTCCACCTCCGAAGAACTCGACCCCTGAGTTATGATCTGGATAAAGGACCTCATCTTCACGGAACTCATATAAATCTGCAACATTAAAAGTATTGGAAATTCCCATGGAATCCGGTAACTCAATAACATAGGCATTATCATTGATCCGTTTGAGCACTTTGTAAGGACCATATTTTCTCGGTTTAAGCTTGCTATATGTGCCAACTGGAAACCTCTCCTTCCTCAGAAATATCATCACAGAGTCACCTTCTTGAAACACTTTAACACGCCTATGTCGATCCGCAGCAGCCTTGTACTTAGCATTAGTTTGCTCAAGTTTCTGCTTGACTTCATCACGAATAGCTACTACTTCCTCAGCCAAATTTTTCGCTGCCACACTGGTTTGCTGGCCTCTAGGCAGTTTCACCAAATCTACAACATGGTTAGGTATAGCAGTATAAACAATGGAAAATGGAGACTTTCCCAGTTGCACTATGGACTGCACTGTTATATGCAAACTCCACCTGTGGTAGTGCATAATCCCATTGTTTTGGCTTCTCTCCACAGACACTTCGTACCATATTGCCCAATGTCCAGTTTGTAACCTCAGTCTGGCCATCAGTCTGGGGATGGGCAGTGCTGCTACGATTCAAAGTAGTCCCAAACAGTCTCCATAAGGTGATCCAAAAATGGCTCAAGAACTTGGTGTCACGATCAGATGTAATGGATGTAGGAACCCCATGCAAGCGAACAACCTCCCTGAAAAACAGTTTGGCTATATTTGATGCATCAGCAGTCTTTTTGCAGGCTATGAAATGCGCCATTTTTGAGAACCGATCAACCACCACAAATACAGAGTCCACTCCCCTTTGTGTTCGGGGCAAACCGAGGACAAAATCCATAGCAAGATCCTGCCAAATATCGTTAGGAACTGGTAATGGCATATATAATCCAGTGTTTTGTACTTGCCCCTTTGAAGTCTGACAAATGTAGCATTTGCGCACAATAGTTCCAACATCTCGTTTGAGCTGTGGCCAGTAAAATCTCTCCTCCATCCCTGCAATTGTTTTATCACGGCCTAGGTGGCCACTCAATCCTCCACCATGCAAGTCCCGAATAAGCTTCTCCCTTAAAGAGGAAACTGGAATACACAACTGGTTGCCTTTGAACAAATAACCTTCATTAAGAAAGTAATCTGCCGTTGGCTCATGATTGATGCACTTAGTCCAAATTTCCCTGGAAATCATCGTCACCCGCATATAAGTCCTTCAGACATTCAAACCCCACAACTTCTTGAGTCAACGTGATTAACAATGAAGCTCTTCTACTCAGCGCATCCGCCACACGATTTGTCTTGCCGGAAGTATGCTTGATAACGAATGAGAATTTCTGCAAAAAAGTCACCCATCTAGCATGCATTTTATCAATATTTTTCTGGCTGTTAATATACTTCAACGCTTGATGATCTGTAAACAAAACAAATTCCTTCTGGATAAGATAGTGCTCCCATTGCTTCAAAGCTCGAACCACCGCATAGAACTCTTGGTCATAAGTACTCCACTTTTGACGTGCATCGCTCAGCTTTTCAGAAAAGAATGCAACTGGCCGCTTGTCTTGTGAAAGCACAGCTCCGACTCCCACTCCGCTGGCATCACACTCAACTTCGAATACTTTCTCAAAGTTTGGAAGAGCTAGAACCGGCGCGGTGCAAAGCTTTTCTTTTATATCTGCAAAGCTTCTCTCTTGCTCCTCTCCCCAGCTGAACCGGCCTTTCTTCAAGCACTCTGTGATAGGTGCAACAATGGAGCTGAAAATGCCTCACAAATCTTCTGTAAAAGGTGGCCAAACCATGGAAACTTCGAACGTCAGAGACTGTCTTTGGAGCTGGCCAGTCAAGGATTGCCTTGATCTTCTCGTCATCTACTTGGATACCATTCTCACCAACAACAAAACCCAAGAACAGTAGCTTATTTGTGCAGAAAGTACATTTTTTAGGTTCACATACAGCTTGTTTTCTCTCAAAACATCTAAGACTTGTCTCAAATGCACAAGATGTTCTTCTTTTGTGGTGCTGTAAATTAAAATGTCATCGAAATAAACTACGACAAAAAAACCAATAAATGGTCGAAGAACCTGATACATGAGTCTCATGAAAGTGCTAGGCGCATTAGACAATCCGAATGGCATCACCAACCATTCAAATAATCTGTCCTTGCTCTTGAACGCTGTTTTCCATTCGTCGCCAGGTCTGATGCGAATCTGGTGGTAACTGCTTCGCAAATCTATCTTGGAAAACACCCTTGAGCCGCCAAGAACATCCAACATATCCTCCAACCGTGGAATGGGAAACCTGTACTTGACTGTTATCTTATTGATTGCTCGGCTGTCAACACACATTCGCCAAGTTTTGTCTTTCTTTGGAACCAACAAAACTGGAACTGCGCAGGGACTCAAGCTCTCCCTGATAAATCCCTTCTGCAGTAATTCTTCAATCTGCTCTCTTAGGATGTCATTCTCCTTGGGGCTCATCCGATAATGGGGCAGATTCGGAAGGCTAGCTCCAGGCACCAAGTCAATTCGGTGTTGTATGTCCCGCATAGGTGGTAACTCGTTTGGCAGCTTTTCAGAAAGTAGTTCCTGAAATTGTGACAAAATCTGCTGCACGTCTTGTGGAATGTCACTTTCTCCTCCTCTGCCAAGCTGCAACAACCCCTTCAACACCAAGGGACAAAAACACTCCGCTTCTTTGACAGCCTCGTTCAACTCCTGCTCGCTGCTAATTAGGGTTAAGAAACTAGAACTCCTCGTCTTGGGCTCAACAGATTGTTTTGAGGGCTTTGTAGTTGCCATTGCAATTTTGCAGTTGTTCCAAGAAAACAGAATTACATTATCTCGTCCCTTGAAAGTTGCATCCACATCAAATTGCCAAGGTCGCCCTGATAAAATATGGCATGCATCCATGTCAATAACATCACAAATACATCATCTCTGTAATGCTTACCAATTGACAGCGGCACACGGCAAGTCTCAGCAACACGAACCGAAGGGTCTTTCGTAACCCAACCTAGTGAGTAAGGGCTGACATGTGGCTCCGTGGTAGCTGCAAATGCTCCACTAATTTCTTTGACACGAAATTCTCGCAACTTCCATTGTCGACGATCACATCACATACCTTGTTTTTGATTGAGCAGAGGGAACGAAAAATACTATGACGCTGCCCTTCCTCCTTTGGTGCCAAAAGAACTCTCTGCAAAACCAAGGTAATCCTCTCCATTCCTTCCTCAATTGCAAATTCAGCCCCTGCATAATCATCTTCACCGACTGCATCTCTTTCCTCATCATCATCGACTTCTTCGATAACGTTAGCCTGCTTCCGCTCTGGACAAACATTGGAACGATGCCCTGGTTTTTGGCAACGGTAACATATGTCCGTCATGGGCTTAGCATACGGATTCTGGGACTGATGTCGGGACTGCCCTCTGTTGAAAGTCCGGCTGCTGCCTTCGTTGAAATTTTTGTTTTGGCCAACTGTTGTTGGTTTTGGCGATCCTCCAGGATTCTGCTGCTGCCCTTTTCCCCTTATCTCCTGAGCCACTTGAAGCATCAGTAGCATATTCAGAGGCTTCTGTCGTGTTCTTGCGGAAGTTGGTTTGGCGCTTCTCCTTCTCCAACAGTTCAGCTTTCAACGCCATGTTAATCACCTCCTGCAAAGTCCATATATTCTGCATACCAATTTTTTCTTGGATGGAAATCTTCAGCCCATTGTTATACCTCGCGACCTTTTGATTGTCAGTCTCGGTCAAATGTTTTGCTCTGCCAAACGCATAAATTCGTCGGTATATTCAGAAACCGAACGGTTGCCTTGTGCACAACCTAGATACATACGGTATAGAATCTGCTCATAATCCGTGGGCAAGAACCGTTCCATCATAAGCGGCTTCATCTTCCGCCATGTACGAACCCGCTGCTTTCCTTGCCTTTGCCGTAGATTTTGCAATTGATCCCACCATACAGCCGCTGTAGCTTTTAGACGGAAAGCTACCATCTTCACCATTTTATGCTCAGGAACCTCCATCCACTTCTACAAGCCAATCCAAGAAGTCTTCAATCTTCATTTCGGCTTTAATCCGATAATCGCCAAAATTTTCGTAATTACGATTACGATGATTATTAGCCGGTGGTGGTGGTGGTGGTTCCTCAAGTTCTTCTTCTAACTCTGACTCACTATCCGGAATAAGTTGCCTCCTATTATCTCTTCTCTCGCCATCTCTACCTTCTCTTCGATTATCATCTCTGTCACCCCTTCCATTGTTGCCACCAATAGCTCGCAACAACAATTCTCGCACCTCCCCAAATTGTGTGGTTAGGTTGTCGATCCGTTGGTTTTGAGCGTCCAAATCCGCTCGAGTAATTGGGGCTGGGACATCAGCTCCTCGTTCACCCATGATAAGACAAGAATACCGAGACGGGAGAGAGCCGCTCTGATACCACTTGACGCAGCACAAGCAACAAAGGTTTCAAACGAAAACCTTGAGTAACAAGAAATCTGGATTCCACCAGTAATTAAGAGGAATTCTCTTGGAATAATTTTATTAAAATCTGAGATACTGAAAACGTTCACCAACTCTGACTAAATACACATCTCTCAACCCTTGAGCTGCTAGGGGAGTTATTACATTAAAACTGAAAAACAGAATTTATTCCGAAAATTAACTACGAAACTTTGAATGCCGTTTTGGAAGACCAAACGACCTCATAATGCCAAAATCCATCATACATCACGGCAAAGCCGTGAGTTTGACTCGTGGCGTCGTTCCCTTTCCAAAATGGTATTTTGCGTCCTAATCGGAGCTCAGGCGACAAATCTGCAAATTCCCGCTACGTGCTTTTTCTAGCTCAACCGTGATAAAATCTGCCATTTGTTCTACATCAGAACCCCTACTACTTAGGCACCAAGCAATGTACCAACTGGAGGTGGCAGTTTGCCACCCACACCACACATTGTGGTTAAAGTATTAAATTTTTCAATATTTGAGTTTTAATGCTAGTTTTCTGTGCATAATTTTATTAAGGAAAATGAGTGGATTTCAACATGAAAAATTTGTAGGGATTTTCAAATCCTTTATTAATAACAACAAATATTAATTAGTGAGTGTACAAGAACACATCAATTTGTCAACATAATTTTTCAATATTTAATGGTAGTTTTTTCAAGTACTGTCTTTAGGGATATAAATTTTTTTTGCTGTATGATTAAAAATGTAGGTTTTACACATTTGATTGCTAAAGATTGCTGAGAACATGAAATCATCAAATCAACATTATTGCAATACCTTTAGCCGACATTGATTTGGCTGATTGAAGGAAAAAGTTTGTTTTGTTCTACATTTTACAGTTGAGTGTTGAGGTACTTTAGGGACTTAATTCTTGGTTGGTTTTCATATTTGCTTGTCTTAACTAGCCTTGTGGCTAATTTATCTAGTATATACTTAGGTTCTGTTGTGATCAATGTTTAAAATAGCATTGAACACCTCGCCTTAAAATCGCCTCAAGCCGCATCTTGTTTAGCAAAATACTCATTTAGCGTACGCGACGAGGTTGAGGCGTTGCGAGATGGTGAGAATGGCGGCTGAGGCACAACTTCAGCGAGAAAGACGAGCCCTAATTTCATTTTCAACCTTTTATACTCCACAAAAGAACAGCACAACATGTGATCACTTACAAATATTGTCTTTGAGCCTGATATTAAACCAAACGGTGTGTTTTCTCCTTCTAGGGATCTCATTGAATCTTTCTTCTACCACCAAACCCCACCCACCCGATCGATAGATCCAGTCCAAACCTGAAACTTTGATCTTCTCCAGCAAGTCCCAACCTCAATTTCAGTTTCTCTTCTCTTCGAATTTTCTAGTAATCTAACAAAGGCTGTAAGCAGGCTCTCTTCTACATGTTCTCTTTCTTTGTTACTATGTTTTTGTTTAAGTTTTCCTCCCAGCCAGCCACTGCATTTGAGCCAAAAGCTTTGTTTATGTTCTACAAAACTTATGTTTTGTTATCTGCATATAACCAAAAAGCCTTGTACAAAACTCATGAGATCTTTCAGATTATGCCATCAGCCACTTTTCGTATCTGCGAATATCGGATCAAATATGACAATTGAGTAAGACAGCTATTGAGGGAGATGATTCATCTTTAATGGGAATTGAAGGATGCATTAGTGCAATGGATTTTTGAGTGGTTTGGATAGATCCCTTGTAATTTTTCCACACAGATTGATTTGGTCTATACTCAATTCAGATAAGAAAACTAGGTCTTTAGCTTTGAAAACTTGTTTGAGGAATTCTTCTAAGTAATTAAACTTCAATTAATATGCTTGGACTTTAGTCGACACGTTCACCTAGCATAAGACATTCAGTCTGTGTCGTTATTTCACGATGTAAGCATGTTGATGACATTAATTCAAGTGTTGTGAATGACTAAAACAATGATTGGTTTGTATTGAGCTCCTGAATTATTATTTGTGTAATATTGAATTCATTCGCCATCCAAAAATTTCAATCTGGAATGGTAAATTTCCAGCTTCAAAACAGAACAAATCTCAATTTATTATTTTGAGTTTAACTCTATTGCAATCCATTGAGTAACTTGGCCAATTTGCAAACTTGGGAAGAACCAATTAAAAAGTCATTAAGTTGTTAACATAATTGGTTAATTCTGTTCATTAATCTTTTACGTAACATAATTGGTTAATTAAGATCGTCATTAACTTTGTTCCTGCATATATTTTCGGCGTACGTCTTCTTCAGTTGCATACTAAACTGAGACAGAACCAAAACCAGCCACCAATTCGAAGAATCCAAATTCCAAAACCAAACAAAGAAAAGAGAATAGTGCCCAACTCAAAATAACCAAAATCCCCAAAAGCAAGACTTGTCTCGCGAATTCAATTCCCAATGCATATAATAAACTAAAATGTTGAATGCAAAATTAATAGAATGGCCCTTTTATGAATGCAAATGATTTTGTGTGGGTTCAGTTTAGTTATTCTATGATTAATTTCCAAGAGATGTAATTTATTAAGAATTTGTTGACAACAAAGAAGTTTCGTAACACACAAAACAAGAGACATAACTCTATTAGAAATATTTGACAAACAGGGTTTTGTAGAAATCTTGGTTACATCTGAGCAATCACCTAACAAAAAAATTTATTTAAAAAAAAACAATTGAATTATAACTAGAAGAAAAAACAATTGAATCACCTGCAAATCATTCCTGTTTTTTTCTTCTTTTTCCAGAGGTGGAGAAATGGATGGCTTCATACGAACTTACTTTAGCAACATTTTTAGCTCAGATATTTAATAATTAAATGAACCCTTGACACCCTCAAGGCTCTATATAACACAAAAGATAGCAGGGTAGCATTATCTCAACATTTGCAAAACACAAAAAGGAAGGATGATATAGGCTTACTTGCATCCCAATAGCATCAGAAATGCAAAATCATGTCCAAACTCCACTCTATATAAAAGACAGAAATTCACTACTCTCACAAATCTCAAAAATCATTTTATGATGCCGTGTAGATTAATTCTCACAACAATTGAGATTTGAAGTAGAAACACACAAGGAACACTAGAACAAGCCAAAATATTTTTAACAACAAGAATGGAAGGTTCCAGAGCCAGATACTTGCAAGTTCTCAAAATTATAAATGAAAATTAGCCAATTTGAGTTCAGATTTTAGCAATGGAATTATTTACAAAAAGGTAAAAACAAGTATGACTTTGTCATCATAAATAGCAAGAGAGAAATGTAAATGTAAACGTCAATGGAAAATGTGGAGTTTAATTATAGGACTCAAAGAATAGGGCCACTGAGGAGACATGCGGCCTTACTAAGATGTCCCAGGGAGGTGAAACTGAAACTGACTTGCATATGTCAATGTCTCTCCCATATGTGCATGCTTGAAGGGATTTGTACCAAAATCTCCAAAAGATTGGAATTCGGGATCACATTGGCTTGCAGCTCTGGAGATGGCTTCCTCAATTACACTGGGGTTAAATTGCCAGACACATCTTCCTCATGGTATGACAAAAGCATGAGCCTCAAGGAATGCAATGAATTATGTTTGAACAACTGCTCATGTACGGCATATGCAAATTTAGATATCAGGGAGGGAGGAACTGGCTGTTTGCTTTGGTTTGGTAACCTCACTGACATGGCACAATTCACTTCCGGTGGTGGTCAAAACCTCTATGTACGGATGGCAGCTTCAGAACTTGGTAGCTCTTAGAATTTTATTTGATCTTGTTTTTGTTTTTCTAGCCAATACTGGATAACAATGTCACAATATATTTATACGTTAAGGGAAAATGAGTTTTTGTCAACTTTTTATGTTTTTCTTTTGGATGGGGTTTTTATGGGGGCAGGAGTTAGAACCAGCATGGTTAAAAGTATTGAGCTTTACCTAGAGCTAGGTCCACAAATGGTGGTTATTTCCTCAGTTGGCCTTGCTGCTTCGTCTGTAGTTAAGCAAAGTATGGCTAAAATAAGTTGGTGTTATATTCACAGTTACTGCGAAATGCGAGATTGCTTACTGAATTGCATGAAAGTTTTATTTTAATTGTGATCTTTCAGATCATATTGAGGAAAAGAGCAAGTTCAACAAGAAAAAGCTACCTGGAATTCTCATCAGCTCTGCAGTTTTTCTTGTGGTAACGGTACTAATTGGATTGATATTGCATATACGGAACAAGAAACTCAGAAATCAAGGTAAATATCTCAAACGCGGACCTGGATTCTTTCAAATACATGATTGTAAAATTCAGGCAAAAAAATTAAACCAAAGTATCTCTTCTATGAAATTTGCATTAGATTGTTTCGATAGTGTGTGATTTTCTTGTGTTCCAAGATTTGGCTTAGGGTTTCGCGTTTAATCAATTAAATTGGGACACATGGCATATGGTGATTTGACCAATTGATTAACCAATATAATTCTTACACATCTATTTATCCAGATTGTTGAGCTTGTTTGCCACATTAACAAGTTTGAGGAGATGCTCTCTCATGCTCCCAGTTCCATCAAACTTGGTTGAAGTGAGTGTAGTAAGATAAGAACTTGATTCAGCCTTGTCAGACCTCTTAAACTTTTCCTCCACAGCTTCCATATAATCCTTAGCAAGATCACAGCCTGGGATGCCTCCTCTGATGTGCTCTTCCATTGAATTTTGCATTATAAGCAAAGACATATCATTTGCTCTCTCCCATTTCTTAAAAGCATCCTTTTCTTCTTGACTACTGATATTAGTCAAAGCTGCTGGCTTAGGCTCCTTAAAAGCTATGGTGAACTCAAGTAATCCCAAATTCATATCAATTTGTTGCTTCCATGTCTTGAAGTTGGTCCCATTCAGTTTCTCAATGTTAATAAGGTTTAACATATTGAAACCTGCCATTAATTATAGGAACAGAACATAAGCTTCGAAGTTCACAACAATTGTGACTAAAACTGATATCTAAATGCTTTAGTCAAACTTAAGTTATAGAAAATGATCACACCTTTAGGCAAGAAATCACTCTATAAATGTAATGAACTATCAAAACAAAAATTTGCATAGCCAAGCATAAAGCACAAGAATTAGTACAAATTCAACACCTTTGGGTGAGATTACATAATACTAACCAAGTTTTTCATGACTCACTAGACATTAGTTTATAGCCAAACCCAGTAGACAACTTCTTTGGAAGAAAATCTACCTGTTAATGTTTATAAACTACAAACTGAGCATCAAAATTGATTTTAAATAGCAAAGGATCAGATAAACCACTTTGGCAGTTTACCCATCCAATCCCAAAATCATCCCAGTATATAATCTTGTTAATTTAATTAAATCAACAAAATTCATCAAAAAACCATTAGACAAATCAATTGAGACTGAATTTGATTTTTAATGTTTATTGATCAAATTGAATAATCAGCAAGTAACATCACAAGTGCATCGAAATATAATGATATAAAAATTACAAGTATAATCATTAACGCAGCGGAAAAAGACAAAAAAAAAACAAGGATAATCATAAATGACACAATGTCGATAAACGTTAACCAAAAAAGATGAGTTCAAGGCTGAATTGATAGCTCTGATACCACATGCAAGTTCTACTGTATTCAAAATAATCTTGAACCAATTTAGCACTTAAACCACACCTTAACACAAATTTGATAATTAAACAATAGAACAAGTAGAGATAAGACTTACTTGAATTAGTCATAATCAGATATACAAGATGATCTTCTCCTCTCAGTATTCCAAAATGTCAAAGCTTTCAATAGGGCAAGCATACAGAATATGAACGTGTAAATATGAGAGCAGAGACCAAGCCTTTTATACAAGTTGCTTTACAACTGACTCTCCTATTAAGAGACAACTGGTAGCCAAAACGTGGAGATAATGGATGATATCCACCTCCTGTAACAGTTATTCCATTTAATCATTATCTGAATAAAAGTCTCATAATATCTTAATTTAAATATAACTCTATTTATTATTTATATGACACCTCATAATAATGAAAAGGCAAACTCACAAAATATATGGAAAAACTTACATGATTTTCTTGTGTTCCAAGATTTGGTTTAGGGTAAAGCATTGAACCAATTAAATGGTGACACATGGCATATGGTGATTTGACCAATTGATTAACCAATATAATTCTTACACATCTATTTATCCATGCTGAGGAGATCTCCTTGTCATTTCAGGAGTTAGAAGCATAGATTGCACAAAAGATTACCTTGGAGAAGACAGGGAAGACATGGAGTTACCACCACAATTTGATTTGAGCACCGTAGCTAAAGCCACCAATGACTTTTCAAGCAGCAACAAGCTGGGCGAAGGTGGTTTTGGACCTGTGTACAAGGTAACATAAATTTATGCAACTAAAATGAGCTAATCTGTGATACAAGTTTTAAGACTTTATAAATGATGATCCGTAGGGTACATTGATTGGAGGGAAAGAAATTGCAGTAAAAAGGCTTTCGAAGAATTCCGGGCAAGGAATGATAGAGTTCAAAAATGAAGTTAAACTGATAGCAAGACTTCAACATCGCAATCTTGTAAAGCTCTTGGGTTGTTGCGTTCAAGAAGAGGAAAAAATCTTGATATATGAATTCATGCCCAACAAAAGCTTCGACTTCTTTATTTTTAGTATGGTGCTCTCTGATGCCAACCATATGGCTTTTAAGTCATACTATGCTTCACCTTTAATCTTATATATACAAGGATTCAATGTTGCATTGAGTTAACAGTCTCAAGTTTTCTTCAGATCAAGAAGGACAAAGATTGCTCGACTGGCCTACGTGCTTTCACATCATTGGTGGAATTGCTAGAGGGCTTCTTTATCTTCACCAAGACTCTAGATTAAGGATTATCCATAGAGATTTGAAAGCTAGCAATATCCTGCTTGATAATAGTATGAACCCTAAGATTTCAGACTTTGGCCTCGCTAAAACATTTGGAAGTGATCAAAGTCGGGGTAATACAAATAGAGTAGTTGGAACATTGTAAGTATACTTGTTGTATGGTTTACAATTTACATTGTATTGTTTTTGTCGAAATTCTTACACTCATAGCAATTTGATTGTGCAGTGGTTACATATCTCCCGAATATGCAGTAGATGGAATTTTCTCAATGAAATCTGATGTCTTTAGCTTTGGAGTTATACTGCTGGAGATGTTGAGTAGGAAGAAGAATAGGGGATTTTCTCATCCAGATCACCACCTTAACCTTCTTGGATATGTTAGTATAAAGCATTAAAGTACTATCATTTTACTTTAAAGAAACTAGTGAATTAGGCGATGCAATCTTCTAATCATCTCCTTCAATTCAATGACATGTCACCATAATAACATATTGTATATGTTTTAATTTTTGAAGGCATGGATACTATGGATTGAAGATAAAGCATTGGAACTGATTGATAAGACATTACGTGATTCATGCACCATATCTGAAGTTTTAAGGTGTCTTCATGTGGCGCTGTTATGTGTACAAAGAGTACCTGAAGATAGACCAAGCATGTCATCTGTGGTTCTAACGTTGAGCAGTGATGTTACCTTGCCTCCACCAATGCAGCCTGGTTTTTACACCGAGCGAAGTGTCCCTGAATCACCCTTAAGTACACGCCGGTGTTCAGCGAATACTTCCATTACAATAATAGAGGCTCGGTAGATCATCTTTCTGGTGCTTGTTCATGCGTCTGTCTACCATTACAAAATGTATTTGGCAGGTTGTCTACAACTTTGTAGTCTTAGCTAGGAAAAAATGACATAAGATTATTCATAGTTTCCAAAAAAGATGTGATTGAATTATAAGTTTGCTTGGAGTTGTTGGGTTGTTGAAGAAAATTCAAGGGGTGTGGCCTGATATCAACACAGTCGATGCACGCTGGTCTGGGTGGGGAATTTGATCGAACAAGTGACGGGCACGTTATAAATCTGCGGAATTAGAGTAGACTTTGAAGAACCGAAGGCTCAGGTGAGATGGGACGTTGGCGGGTAGCTTAGTGTTTCAACGGGTTTTGTATCTTCTTCTAATTTCTAGGGATAAACTTGAAGTTTACAAGTGGCTTTGAAAACATTGAAACGTTTGGTTTCTTCGCGCCAGGTCAGGTATTAACTATTGGCTAAATTGGTGATTTAACCATGAACTGGTACGCTGGTACGGTTATAATAAAAACTTGAGTTTTATGATTAAACTCTAAACGATGTTGGCTTTTGGTGCATTGAAAGGGAATCCGTAACATCTTGAAGTTAAGGGTGGGCATCAATTTGGGTGAACTGATGAAATCGACCGATCCAAATTGTAATTATTGTTTGATTTGGTTTTGACTAAGAAAAAGTTAAATGGTTTAAAAAATCTAACCGAACCGTATATGGTTTGGTTTAATTTAGTTTTGAATTTTTGTAAACAGATCTAAACTAAACCAGACCGTTTATGTGTATATTTATTTATTTTTATTTTTATTTTACATGTATAATACTCTAATTATGCAATAACTATATATGGATATTTGAATTAATATTAGTTATGAAATTTGAAGTTTTATGACATGTTGAACGTTAGGATGGTTTCGTAGCCTAGAAAATGATTTAAGTATGGGACAAGTTGTGCATCTGTTGGGTTGTAGTTGGGCTAACAATGTTGAAAAAATACAAAAGAAAATAGAATTGGGCTTAGGCCCAAAGCGAAATAAACCGTCTTGAATTGATTTGGTTTTCTTCATGATTTTTGTTAAAACCAAACTAAACCAAATCGTTATAATATAATTGATTCGGCCATAATTTTGAGGTGAAACCGATCCAATTCGAATCATGCCCACCCTACGTGAAGTATATATTTTAAACCTTAAATTACACATTCATATACCAAAGAGCTTATTCCTACTTTTAAAAAATTGAGAATATTGTTTTCCCTCTTCCAATGGTTTAATGTGAAAATACTTTATTTTTATTTACACTTCATTTTACAAATATTATTCTAAGTCTCCAAAAAGCCCCTGTATGGTTAATGAATTGTATTATTGATGACCATATTGTAACCAATGCTTCAGTTAATGAAATTTACTTCTTTTTGATAATTATAAAAATAAAAAAAATAAAAAAAGTCTCCAAAAAACTTATGTTTGATTTCTTCAAAATGTATGTTAAAGTTAACCAAGTAATTTGAACTATTGAAGAAAGATTAAGTTATCAAGAAATAAATTAAGTCCAATCGCCTCTCCTCCTTGTATATTAGAATAGCTTAAATATAGTTTTGTCAAATAAATAAAAATACAATTTAGTTTGTTGGTATTAATGAGAAATTGGAATAAACTAACGAATGGGCCTGCGGTGTCGAAGAACCTATTGGGCCTGTGAAGATAAATCTGCATTATAGAAACCAAGCGATCCAAGACAAAGGTGGCAAATAATAACAGAAAAAGGAAGGGGAGAAATTAGCAAAATTATGGAGATAAAATGGAATTTCCGCAACAAAATTGTTTCCGGGAAATCTTTTGCAGCTTGACCCGAAAAAAAAGGGGGAAGCTTTTGCAGCTAGAAAGTGTCGTTTTATTTTATCTTCCCTACAAGGCTTTGGGTACGAAAAGGATAACATACAAGATATCACACAAGGGATACAGGAATTGAAATTTGAAGTAATGACACGCTCTTATCCTGAGGAATTTATACAACAGATCGTAATTTGGCTACCTGTTAAGTCTATGATCAAATGCACTTCAATCTGCAAGACATGGAGGTCCATGATCATGAACAAAAGCTTCATTCGCGCCCACAGCACAACAGTGGACTTTGCTAACCAGAATGACGTTCACCTCCTCCTATACTCCACAGAATTTCTGGTAGCAGCATTCACAAGGTAGAAGACGAGGTTCACTCTGTGCATCATGATAACCAGGCATTTGATGTGTACTCCAAGATCGAATTTCCAATTGCCGCAAAGAAAAACTATGGCAATTCACATCTTCGTGTGGTTGGCTTGGCACTTGTGATGGGCTAGTTTTTTTTGCGGATGATATCCCCTCTTATGCTTACAACTTCATTATATGGAAGTTTGGAACCCAGCCATTAAAAAGTCAGTGACCCTTCCCAAGCCTGGTATTACCTATTAGATGCATGGTCGGTACGATGCTTCTATTGGGTTCGGTTTTGATGCTACAACCAATGACTATAACTACTACAAAAATCGAAATAGACGACGGGAAACCACCGTCGTGTAAAAGGTTTTCGCCCGGTCGTGAAATCGACTGCCGTCTATTTGGGTTTCAAACTACGACGGCTTTTCACCGTCGTTGTTTATCAGTAAAGATGACGGTTTTTAAAGAAAATCGTCGTTGTTTAGAGGTAAAGATCGTTAATTATAGGAGGAAAGCGTCATCTTTACGTACAATAGACGACGGTTTTTTATAAAAAGCGTCATCTTTACGTACAATAGACGACGGTTTTTTTATAAAAAACGTCATCTTTACGTACAATAGACGACGTTTTTTTTTATAAAAAGCGTCATCTTTACGTACAATAGACGACGGTTTTTTTATAAAAAGCGTCATCTTTACATACAATACACGACGGTTTTTATAAAAAGCGTCCTCTTTACATACAATAGACGACGGTTTTTATAAAAAAGCGTCATCTTTACGTACAATAATGCTTTTTGATTTCCTATGATGCTATACAACGATTTTAACTAGAAAACCAACCATAATGCTTTATCAAAAATAGTTTCTTTCATAAAACTTGAAGATTCAATAGTTATTACATAGTTAACCAATCTTTATTCTACAACAAACATAATTCCTAACAAGACCTACGTACTCCTAATCCAAGCATTCCTCATCCAAACATACAAATGATGCACAACTGAAGTCTCCTCCATCATCCCTGTAAATAAATCAAAATGACAAAGAGAGAAAAAAAAAAGAAGCTAAGATTATAAACATAAAAAATTAGGTGGAAGAGAAATTTTACCATTGGTCCATATTTCCATAGAAAACTTGTAAAATGAGCATAAAAAAGACCATCGAGAACCTGCAAATTTTCAACAACAAAAAAACATACGTCTCACATAGAAAACCTGCAAAAGAAAAAGTTATAAATCTGCAAGCTTCCTCCTCATCTCCTGATAACCAAATCAGAAAATCTAAAAAGAAACCAGAAATAAAAAAAAATATGTAAACAAATCAGACAAATCAAGAAAGACAAAATCTGAAATTAGGGATACAAAGAACATACCAAAAACGCAAAGAGACTAATCCAGAATTCACTAGCAAGATATAGATAAGAGGTGACTTTCAAATCAACCTTTCAACCAGCTTTGATTCTCAAATACAGAACATCCCTCTACATCTTATGGATTTGCTAAGACCTCAATCTCTCAACTCCTTCATTGATATCGATCTTTTGATGATTTTGTAGAGAGTTTTATGAGGGTGTTTTAGAGAGTGCATGAGGGTTTCAAGGAGGGAGAGATAAGGTTTTCAGAGACGGGGGAAAATCTGAAAATTTGACAAGCGCGAATTCACTTAAGTAGACTTTTTTTAGCGTGTTTTAAAAGACGACGCTTGTTAATGAGAGATAAGATTTTCAAAGACGGGTGAAAATTTGAAAATTTATCGAGCGCGAATTCACTTAAGCGGCCATTTTTTAGCGCGTTTTAAAAGACGACGCTTTTTTTAAAAAAAAATTTGTCATCTTTACATATAATATACGACGGTTTTTTTTATAAAAAACGTCATCTTTACATATAATAGACGACGGTTTTTATAAAAAGCGTCATCTTTACATACAATAGACGACGGTTTTTTATAAAAAGCGTCATCTTTACGTACAATAGACGACGGTTTTTATAAAAAGCGTCATCTTTACGTACAATAGACGACGGTTTTTATAAAAAAACGTCATCTTTACATACAATAGACGTTTTTTTCCACTACACTTCTTGACCCTATATGAATACAATGACTGAATTTGATCTTCAATTTAAAATATTTACACTAGTGGATACCACAAAATCTTATGTTATATTTAACGAAAGTATAAATAAACTCTTAATTGTTAGTGAATATTTTTTTTTATGGCATACGCATTTTAAGAAACTAGTTTCAACGATCCAACCGTCAAACTTGTTTTGTTTATACTTCGAGATCATCTACACCAAAAATCGAAAAAAATAAACATTCAGAGATAAAGTAACGGGACAAAAAATTTCGACGGTTATAAATGAAAAATCATGATTTAACGGTTATTTTAACTCCGATTTTGATGATTTTTTACCGCTACACTCCTTGACCCAATATGAATACAATGATTGAATTTGATCTTCAATTTAAAATATTTACACTAGTGGATACCACAAAATCTTATGTCATATTTAATGAAAGTATAAATAAACTCTTCATTGTTAGTGAATATATTGTTTTGATGGCATACGCATTCTAAGAAACTAGTTTCAATGATCCAACCGTCAAACGTGTTTGTTTATACTTCGAGATCATATACGCCAAAAATCGGAAAAAATAAACATTCAGAGATCAAGTAACGGACAAAAAATTTCAACGGTTATAAATGAAAAATCATGATTTAACGGTTATTTTAACTCCGATTTTGATGATTTTTTACCGCTACACTCCTTGACCCAATATGAATACAATGACTGAATTTGATCTTCAATTTAAAATATTTACACTAGTGGATACCACAAAATCTTATGTCATATTTAACGAAAGTATAAATAAACTCTTAATTGTTAGTGAATATATTGTTTTGATGGCATACGCATTCTAAGAAACTAGTTTCAACGATCCAACCGTCAAACTTGTTTGTTTATACTTCGAGATCATATACACCAAAAATCGAAAAAAATAAACATTCAGAGATAAAGTAACGGGACAAAAAATTTCGACGGTTATAAATGAAAAATCATGATTTAACGGTTATTATAACAAACCATCATCTTTACATATAATAGACGACCATTTTTTATAAAAAAAAGCGTCATCTTTATATATAATAGACGACCCTTTTTTTAAAAAAAAATTGTCATATTTATATAATAGACGACGGTTTTTATAAAAAGCGTCATCTTTACATATAATAGACGACGGTTTTTTTATAAAAAGCGTCATCTTTACATATAATAGACGACGGTTTTTTCGGTTTTTATAAAAAGCGTCATCTTTTCATACAATAGACGACGGTTTTTTCGGTTTTTATAAAAAGCGTCATCTTTACATACAATAGACGACGGTTTTTTCGGTTTTTTATAAAAAGCTTCATCTTTACATATAATAGACGACGGTTTTATAAAATCGTCATCTTTACATATAATAGACGACGGTTTAAAAAAAAATTGTCATCTTTACACATAATAGACGACGGTTTTTTAAAAAAAATCGTCATCTTTACATATAATAGACGACGGTTTTGTAATAAAAATCGTCGTCTTTACATATAATAGACGACGGTTTTTATAAAATCGTCGTCTTTACATATAATAGACGACGGTTTTTATAAAAAGCGTCATCTTTTCATACAATAGACGACGGTTTTTTTGGTTTTTATAAAAAGCGTCATCTTTACATACAATAGACGACGGTTTTTTCGGTTTTTTATAAAAAGCTTCATCTTTACATATAATAGACGACGGTTTTATAAAATCGTCATCTTTACATATAATAGACGACGGTTTAAAAAAAAATCGTCATCTTTACACATAATAGACGACGGTTTTTAAAAAAATCGTCATCTTTACATATAATAGACGACGGTTTGTAATAAAAATCGTCGTCTTTACATATAATAGACGACGGTTTTATAAAATCGTCGTCTTTACATATAATAGACGACGGTTTTTATAAAAATCGTCATCTTTACATATAATAGACGACGGTTTTAATAAAAATCGTCGTCTTTACATATAATAGACGACGGTTTTATAAAATCGTCATCTTTACATATAATAGACGACGGTTTTTATAAAAATCATCATCTTTACACATAATAGACGACGGTTTTTATAAAAATTGTCATCTTTACATATAATAGACGACGTTTTTTTTATTTTTATAAAAAGCGTCATCTTTACATATAGTATGACGTATGATAACAAAATCAAAGAAATAAATTGATAAAAAAAATTCGTATTAAGACGACGGTTTAAATATAAGGTATGACGTATAAAGGGAATAAATACGACGTTAAATTTTATAATACGTCGTTAAATGAAAAACAAACGTGGTGAGATTTAAAGATACCGTCGTAGAACTATACAAGAAAGACGTCGATATATTTTTATTTTCCGTCGTTGTACATTAATTTAATACGGCGATATTTTGTATTTTACCGCCGTGGATTTATTTGTAATTATATGGCGCCTTATACGAAAACTTGGTCGTGTTATTTTCTGCGTAAAAACGGCGGCTTTTTTTGAAATCGTCGTCTTTACTTTCTACGTCGGTCGATTCATAACTTCTGCCGTTCTTTATTTGCTTTGATTTTACACTGCGGAAATCCTATTTCAAATAGACGTCGGTTTTTTAATTAGGTACGTCGTTGTTTATGAACAACCATTTGAATCTCCATTTTTTAGGTGTCTAAGGTGTTATTACACGGCGGTTTTATAGAACCGTCGTCTTTTAAAAAACAACGACGGTTTTCACTTAGACCGTCGTTTTTTTCTAGTCGTCTTTGTCACTTTTTGTAGTAGTGGGTTGTGCGAGTTGTGACTTTATTGGATATTGAAGATGAGACGCCAACTCTAGCTGAGGTTTATTCCCTAGCCACCGACACATGGAGCACCCTTGGTTGTGTTTTTCCTGCATGTCTAATAGATAAAGCTGCATCCAATGCTTTTGTTGCATTGGCCTGTAGTCTGTCAGACAGATGTTGATTCTTACTATATTATATTGACATTTGACCTGGGCAAGGAGGTGTTCAGTAAGATACCTATGCCGAAGATTATTCAATGGAATTTCAAGTTGGGATTGCAATTGTCTGTTTCAAATAACAGAAAATCTATTGCTTTGTGCATGACGCTCAACAATCGTGAAGATTTCATAACGGATTATAGGCCTGAAGATTTTGTTATTGATATATGGGTGATGAAAGAGTATATCAGAGAGGAATCATGGACCAAATTGAATGCTCTCTGTCCACAAGGTCCAGAAACAATATTCCCCAGCGCCTTAGGCCCTTATGTTTTAGGAAGAGTGGGGAAGTACTATTACTGCTCAAAGAATAAGAGAGGCAGGAACTAGTATCACTAGACCTTGTGAGCAAACAGTATAAAATTCTTGGGATTTCTGGATATAAATATTGTACTGGTCATTTTTATAAAGAGAGCCTCCTCTTACTCGACAAGAGCAGAACATTTCAATTCTTTGTTTGCCAGGTTTTTATGTTCATTAAAAGCATGATTGGTGACTAAATTGCTATGGGATCTTTATTATATCGACTTGTTCTTTTAGCTGATTGACTTTCTCGCTTCTGTTGTTAGAACACAACTTGTGACTAAAGTCAACACAGCTCTCATGGAGACTCAATTTGGATATCAAAAAGTTAAAACAGTGTAATTATAATAATATAAACTCAGCTCTCATGTAAACACGATTAGACTGGTCTTTTACATGCTCTTAGTTTTTTACATATATAATATCAACTTGTTATGACTTTAGACGGTGGACTGATTGCTGCTACTGTAGTGAAGTCTGTGATTCAATTCACATGGTTTTGTTTGCTGCTGTAATAGATTGTGCAATAGTTCATGCTTTAATCCCTTTTCCAATGTTTTCATTTGTACAATAGTTTTTCCAATTTAGCTTTCATTTTTGTAAGCATGAAGAGGAAGTTTGATTTGCACTCCTGAAGAAGTACTGGGAAAATTTTGACAAGTGATGTCAACTCTAATGCTTAACAATTGATTAACGCAGCACTTTTCTTGTTTTCTTTTGTTGCAGATTTGTAGTGCAGTAACGTTGTTTGCCGAAAGTGCTTGATGTGCGTCAACGTCCGTTTCTTGTTATCTATCATGCTGATGTATTTTCGTTTTCTTGTTCATTTTTTAGCCGATTTGTATGGCAATAGCGTTTTATGCCTGAAGTGCCTGATGTTTCTGTGTATTTACTTGGCATGGAACTTGTTATCTAGTAGTTCTTGCACTATTTATTCTTCAGCTTTTGAGAAACTTTAATGGAATTATCTAGTTACAAATTTCATTTGCCTTTGCAGTTCTCTGCACCAGTTTCCATGAAATGCTTTTGCAATTTTCATTTTCATTTTTATTGCATAGTTTTCCCTGAGCTGAACATTTGACAGCAGAATTCACTTTTAATTAAGTCATGAAGGTGATTTGAAATTGTACCCTGTTTTAGTTAACTGCATGCCTGCAACATATGATGGTTGTCCATTTTTGCAATTGCATTTGTTTCAAGACCATTTTTGCAACTTTAAACTCAACCCCCCATTCAACATTCGAGTCAATAATAATGAAGGGAACTCTCTTTGATTTTGTAAATTTCATTAAAATTCCCAAAAGCTCTGACAAAGCACCTGGTTTCAGAGGCTAGAGCAGTTTCAGCATTTGAATTAAAAACTAATTTTTTAATCATAGCAGTGAGTAAAGCATATTTTAGCATTAGACTTTAAACAAATGCAAATTTCAGCACTAGTCTGTAAGAACATTTTGATTAGGAGTTGAAATCACTGTTGCAGTTTTCTATTGAATGGTTTTTCTTTAGGGATTTAGATTAATCACCTCTTTGATTTGATTATATTTGATTTATAATCCAAATTTCATCAAAGCAATTTCCATTGGAGTAGCCTTATGGAAAGAGCCTTGAATTCCATATAAGATTTGACGTGCATGCCATCTTTGACTCTTTAGAGGTTGTAAAGGTCAATACGTTGACCAAAAGATGCAAATTTTGAAACATATTTCTCAAATGAGTTTATATAAAGGGTAAGAAACCAAAGTCCAAGGCCAAAACTTTCGAAACCAAGGTGTTGTGTCAAAAGTTGAGCAGTGATTCATGATACAACCTCTCTTCTCTGACCCGCAAGCCCAGTATCTCGAAGGCCCACTTGGTTATGGGACCAGTGTCCTCTGTTTTTCCTTAGCATTAAGAGAATAATACATCTACCTTGGAATTGTCGCCACCTGTCCCCAATCATGTAAGTTTCCTTGTTAAGCCAGACCCCATCACGTCATTATAGAAACACGTCTTTCACTTCTAGCTTATATAAAGGGTGTCCACGGCCGAGACTTTCGAAACCAAGGGTCTTTTACTTCTAGCTTTTGCTTCTTCCATCTTCTCTGCATAACTTTTATAGTCTCAGAATATCGATGCAAGCCTTGAGAAGACTTTTTGTCTGCTCCTTGTTAATCTCCTGCATAAGAATCTCAACTACAACCGCATTAGACACAATCACTCCAAGTCGATCGATGAGAGATGGTGAAACTCTAGTTTCAGCAGGTGGAAGCTTCGAACTGGGATTCTTTAGCCCTGGTGCATCAAAGGGCCGATACTTGGGAATATGGTACTCTTTTGATACTGATACAGTTGTATGGGTAGCCAACAGAGAAACACCACTTGGCGATTCTTCAGGAGTTTTGAAGGTCACCCAGCAAGGAGTTCTAGTCCTTCTCAATAGCTCAAACAGCATGAAATGGACATCCAATTCATCTAGAACTGCAGGGAATCCAGTATCACAACTCATGGATTCAGGAAACCTTGTTTTGAAAGATGGAAATGAAACTAACCCTGATAGCTTCTTGTGGCAGAGTTTTGATTATCCTTGTGACACATTCCTACCAGAAATGAAGCTTGGTTGGGACTTAGTTACTGGTTTAGATAGGTACGCCTCGTCTTGGAAGAGCACAGACGATCCTGCTCCTGCAGAGTTTTCAGTAGGGATGGATCGCCGTGGTTTGCCACAAGTTGTTATTATGAAAGGAGCTAAGATAATGGCTAGAGGAGGGTCATGGAACGGCCTTTATTTTACAGCATATCCATATCCTCCACAAAACACAGCATTGGAGTATGAATTTGTGTTGAACAAGGATGAGGTCTATTATGAGTACAGGCTTGTAAACACGTCCATGTTCTCGAGATATATGTTGACTCCATCAGGCACTGTGCAGCGATTCAGATGGGTGTACCAAACACATAGTTGGGAACTTTCCTCTACATTCCAAGCAGACCAGTGTGAGAATTATGCCTTGTGTGGTGCATATTCTAGTTGCAGTATCAACGTCTCTCCCATATGTGCATGCTTGAAGGGATTTGTACCAAAATCTCCAAAAGATTGGAATTTAGGATATTGGTCTGACGGGTGTGTTAGAAAGATTCCATTGGCTTGCAGCTCTGGAGATCGCTTCCTAACGTACACTGGGGTTAAATTGCCAGACACATCTTCCTCATGGTTTGACAAAAGCATGAGCCTCAAGGAATGCAATGGATTATGTTTGAACAACTGCTCATGTACGGCATATGCAAATTTAGATATCAGGGGAACTGGCTGCTTGCTGTGGTTTGGTAGCCTCATTGACATAAAGGAATTCACTGCCGGTGGCGGTCAAGACCTCTACATACGGATTGAAGCTTCAGAACTTGGTAAGTCTTGGACTTTTATTTGATCTTATTTTTGTTTTTCAAGACAATAGTGGAAAACATTTTGACAATATATTTAGAGGTTAAGGGAAAATGATTTTTTGTCTGCTTGTTGTGTTTTGCTTTTGTAAGGGGGTTTGATGGGGCAGCAGTGAGAAGCAGCATGAAAACCCGAATTACATGTTCTTCTACCCAGTGGCGAAGCCATGATTTCATGTGTGTGGGAGCCTCTTACAAAATATAAAGAATCAAAAATTCAAACTCATAATACATACAAAAAATAGTGTGTATATATCACATATGTCAAGAATTATATCGCTTATTGGTTGCAATCATAATTGTTCTCGACAAAGGGATAGACAAATACATTCTAAGCAAGAAAAATTGCAAGAGATAGACAAAGAGTAGAGATTTAGCAAATATCTTTAAAGTTTTTTCCCCTTTAAATCCAATAGAAAGGGAAAAAAAAATCAAAATTTCCCAAATTAAAAACAACCTTAGGCCTCTTTATGCATTCATATCATACATGAAAAAATATTGACTAAGTATGAAAAATGGTTTTTTCGGAATAATCATTTTCTCAAGATAATTTTTGGCGGCTTTTATTCCTTACACATGAAATAAGAAAACTTGATTTTATGGGATTTTAGTATAAAGTATATATTGACTTAATGAGCCATCATTTTTAGCCTAAATCGTATTTTACACTAAAACCGATTTTTCATATTTTGACTTGGTGAGAATTTGATTTTCTAATATTTTTATTTGAATTCAAATAGGGGGTACTTCCTTATTTACATTGTAAACTTAAGTAAATTGAGTAATATAAAAATAAATTAAAGTCAAAGGACAAAGACATTTACTTAAGTGTGGAAAATGGAAATAAGGTAATCTATACACCTGGAGTGCATCACCACTAGCTGAGCAAGGGCGCAATTTGAACTACCTCCTTGTGCCTTAATAACTCCGCCACAATACATGTGGGTACATATCAAAACATAAAGTATTTGAAATAATATACATATACAAATACATAATAGTATATTACTTTTAAAATATAAAAAAACTTGAGTGGGGGTCCGGGACCACACTGGTCCCAGTGTGGCTCCGCCCCTGCTTCTACCTAATGGTAATAGCATGAAAACCACAAATGGTGGAGATTTCCTGGGTTGGCCTTGCTGCTTCATCTGCAGTTATGCAAAGTATAGCTAAAATAAGTTGGTTTTAGATTCACCATTACTTTAACATGAGAAAATTGCATGAAGCTTCTGTTTTGATTATAATATTTCAGATAGAATTGAGAGAAAGAGCACTTTCAAGAAGAAAAAGCTACCCATAATACTCATCGGCTCTGCAGTTTTTCTTGTGTGGTTTACAATTGCATTGATATTGTATATACGAAAGAGGAAACTCAGAAATCAAGGTAAATATCTCAACCTGGAAAGTTTCTCGACTATGAAATATGCATTAGATTATTAGTATTTAATTTAGATAGTGTGATTTTCTTGTGTTCCAAGATTTGGTTTAGGGTAAAGCATTGAACCAATTAAATGGTGACACATGGCATATGGTGATTTGACCAATTGATTAACCAATATAATTCTTACACATCTATTTATCCATGCTGAGGAGATCTCCTTGTCATTTCAGGAGTTAGAAGCATAGATTGCACAAAAGATTACTTTGGAGAAGACAGGGAAGACATGGAGTTACCACCACTATTTGATTTGAGCACCGTAGCTAAAGCCACCAATGACTTTTCAAGCAGCAACAAGCTGGGCGAAGGTGGTTTTGGACCTGTGTACAAGGTAACATAAATTTATGCAACTAAAATGAGCTAATCTGTGATACAAGTTTTAAGACTTTATAAATGATGATCCGTAGGGTACATTGATTGGAGGGAAAGAAATTGCAGTAAAAAGGCTTTCGAAGAATTCCGGGCAAGGAATGATAGAGTTCAAAAATGAAGTTAAACTGATAGCAAGACTTCAACATCGCAATCTTGTAAAGCTCTTGGGTTGTTGCGTTCAAGAAGAGGAAAAAATTTTGATATATGAATTCATGCCCAACAAAAGCTTCGACTTCTTTATTTTTAGTATGGTGCTCTCTGATGCCAACCATATGGATTTTAAGTCATACTATGCTTCACCTTTAATCTTATATATACAAGGATTCAATGTTGCATTGAGTTAACAGTCTCAAGTTTTCTTCAGATCAAGAAGGACAAAGATTGCTCGACTGGCCTACGTGCTTTCACATCATTGGTGGAATTGCTAGAGGGCTTCTTTATCTTCACCAAGACTCTAGATTAAGGATTATCCATAGAGATTTGAAAGCTAGCAATATCCTGCTTGATAATAGTATGAACCCTAAGATTTCAGACTTCGGCCTCGCTAAAACATTTGGAAGTGATCAAAGTCGGGGTAATACAAATAGAGTAGTTGGAACATTGTAAGTATACTTGTTGTATGATTTACATTTTACGTTGTGTTGTTTTTGTTGAAATTCTTACTGACTGAAACTTGATTGTACAGTGGTTACATGTCTCCCGAATATGCAGTAGATGGAATTTTCTCAATGAAATCTGATGTCTTTAGCTTTGGAGTTATACTGCTAGAGATGTTGAGTAGGAAAAAGAACAGGGGATTTTCTCATCCAGATCACCACCTTAACCTTCTTGGACATGTGAGTATAAAGCATTAAGTACCATCATTTTACTTTGAAAAGACTAGCGAATTAGACAGTGCAATGTTCTAAGCACCTTCTCCAATGACATGCCATATACCAGTATAGAATGTAGCAATGCTCTAATTACATGTCATCCTACTAACATCTCATTTATTTTTCAATTTGTTCAAGGCATGGACATTATGGATTCAAGATAAACAACTGGAATTGATAGATACGACGTTATATGATTCGTGCAACATATCTGAAGAGTTAAGGTGTCTTCATGTGGGGCTGTTATGTGTGCAAAGAGTACCAGAAGATAGACCAAACATGTCATATGTGGTTCTAATGTTGAGCAGTGATATTACTTTGCCTCCACCAAAGCAGCCTGGTTTTTACACTGAACGAAGTGTCCCTGAATCACCATCAAGGAAGCGCCCGTTTTCAGTGAATTATTGCAGCACTACAGTGATCGAGGCTCGGTAGATTTTTGTTCTGGGTGCTTTGTTGATGGTTCTGTCTATCATCACGGAATGAGTTTGGCAGATTGACTTGATGCTTGTAGTCTTAGGTGGGAGACAATGACACATTATCATTATTCATGTTATGCAAGAAAAATGTGTTCAATTAGAAGTTGGTTTCGAGCTTTGCCATTCATTTTATTTTACTCTGTTCGACTCCCCTAAGGTATGCTGTAAGTAATGATATTTAACAACCAGAAAATGTGTGAATTGTGAATAAGTGTGAGACTTCATCCATTTATGTAATTTTACGTTTGTTGAAATTCTCATCGCAGCCCAATTGGTGTTTTTTATTTTTTTTCTTTAGTTATTTCCTGATGCACAGATCTTAGAATGAACACTGATAACAGTAAAAGATGAAAACATAGTGTTTCTTTTCTTTTCATTCCTTTGAGAATAAGATTGAATTTCAGCGGGAAGGAAAGCAGTTAATACATCAGCGCATAGGAGAGAGGAGACCCGAGGGACCTTCATTTAAAGAAATGCCATATTTGGCGCCATACACGCTTTGACAACCAATGGAAGTAGAAGATTATGGGTAACAATTTTCCCAACTCTCAATGAAGTGTAAAGCTTTTTGGATTCTCTGAGGAAAATGCTAAAATATAAATATGTTTTGAATGTATTAGGTTAATTTTATTTTTCTCCATAAGGAGGTATATTTAAGAGTTTACAGGGTGCTTACAAGGAATTAGATACAATAAAAAATTAGAAAAGTATCTCCTAATTACACAGTGATTTGTCAACTATATAAAAATAGAAAAGTAAATCCCTTAATTAATAAAGGAAGTAAATCTCCTTGATTAATTAGGAGACTCACGTCAACAGAAAACTCATGTCATATTTGGGACGATATTAACATAGGTATGGCACACAGGTCTGGTTCGGGAATTTGATCGAACAAGTGGGGTGCATTAATCGCCTGAATCAAAGTAAATATTGAAGAACCGGCCCAGGTGATCTTATTTATTATTATTGTTCTAATGGCTTTTGCATCTTGTCACTCATTTGTATTGTTATGTAACATACGCAAGATGAATTGAAGGTGCACCACTATATTTACCATTGCATACCGCATTTCTACCCAGATGAATTTAAGTAGAGGCTGAGTTGTGCTAATCCTTGAATTCCATTTAAGATTTGACATGCATGCATGATGGCTATTTTGGGCTCTTTTTGAGGTTGTAAAAGTCAAATATGTTAACCAAAAGTGAAGCTTCATGGCTTCTGGGTAATTGTCATGTGGGTTTATATGAGAACAATCTACCACTGGAGATGACACACGCACACGTGGTCAATTATCAGCTGTCAACTTGGTCGAGTCTTTTTCCTCCTGTGAAATGGCCTTGTATTGCATGTCCTAATTGCCCGAAGTCCATGACTTTCTTCCACAGAGACCAACTTTCCAAACCAAGGTGCCGTGTAAAATAAGAAAACCAAGTCTAACAAATATAGGCTTACTTGCATCCCAAGAAATGCAAAATCATATCCAAACTCCACTCTATATAAAAGACAGAGATTCACTATTCTCGCGAATCTCAAAAATCATTTTATGATGCCATGTGGATTAATTCTCACAACAATTTGATATTTGAAGTAGAAACACACGAGGAACACTACAACAAGCCAAAATATTTTTAACAAGAATGGAAGGTTCCAGAGCCAGATACTTGCAAGTTCTCAAAATTATAAATGAAAATTAGCCAATTTGAGTTCGGGTTTTAGCAATGGAATTATTTACAAAAAGGTAAAAACAAGTAGAACAGATTAGAAGTATGACTTTGTCATCATAAATAGCAAGAGAGAAATGCAAACGTCAATGGAAAATGTGGAGTTTAATTATAGGACTCAAAGCAAGTGGAGAGATTTTGCAAAGCCCAGAAAGAATAGGGCCACTGAGGAGACATGCGGCCTTACTAAGATGTCCCAGGGAGGTGAAAGTGAAACTGACTTGCTGAAGCCCTACTTATCCCAGTTGCAATGTCTTAGGTTCTCAAAACTGCATACTCTAAATTCACGGTAACCTATTTTTGTAACACGGCATTGATGTGGGAACAAACCAAAAAGGTAAAAACCAAAAACAAAAATAAACAAAAATAAATGCATAAAAATATAGAGATGATAACGTTGGCCATTGACTCTGGTACTGTTAACTACGACTTGAAGACAAGACGGCATTGGTCCGAGGTTGTTACGCCATTTCGCCTCATCTGCTATTGCTCACTCAACCCCTTCCGAGAGGTCGTGAACCGTGTGAACAAAAGCCACCGTCGAATACACATTTACAATAAAATTACTGACAATTCCACAGGTATATACTTTTCAGAAAAAAAGGCCATTAGCTTAGCTTCACAGAATTCACTGTGCCATTTCATAAAAAACTACTCATAACTGAAGAGGGAAACATGAAAAGTTTCCTCATTGTATTTGAAATTTTCAGCTGACTCAATCATGAAGTAGCAAAATATGTCAACACAATACAAACACACAAAAAGTAACCAAAAGCAGAACCAAAAGTCGCCATGTTTTGTGAAACCGATACAAAGTAAAACATATAAAAATGATACTCAGACAGTTCAAAATCTAGTTAATGTTCAATGAAAGTATTAGAAGAACTAGCATATAACAGACTTCGAGAACTGACCTCTATTTTGATTTTGAATTGAGTACGAACACTCTCAATTATTCTCCCAGGTCGTGATCTAAACACAATAGACATGAAATTAATCACAGTTCTATAAACAATAGCAAACAATGGACAAAGAATAGGACTAAACATTAGTATTGACTATTGAGGATAATACAATAGCAAGAATCCAACATGAAGAGTACATAAAAGGGAGACCAGTTACAACACGACACAGAGGAAGGTGCTCTCACTCAAAACCGCCCCTCTCTCTTCTCTCTCATTGATCTCCCTCCCTTCGAGCAAGAGGGCTTGGGGCTGATCGGAGAAGAAGATTGGGGTTGTTTTAATTCTGTTCAGCTTTCATCGTCTCCCAGTCTTTGATTCTTCTCTTTTTATTTGTAAATATTTAAATTTAGTATTGCTCTGTCTTTCATTCTGAAATAATTATTACTTAACCACAAAACTCTTTTGATGTCAAGAAAGAACAAGGAGTATCTTTCACTGGCTTTGACATGAAAAGAAATATGGCAGAAGAAATAAGTTACTGACCCCCTGAGTGGCAAATTGCTCTCGATCATCCAAAATCAAGATCACTTGATATGCATCTTCAAATGTCTCCCCAAAACTTAGAAGCGGCAAGGAAAAGACATTTGAACTTGCTTTGAAACCATCTGATCTAGACTTGGGCACAGGATGACACTAAGAAAATCAACGAGTCAATGAGCAACAACATATAACAGTACACTCTGCAGTGTTCAACACAACTCGAAAAGGTGACTTTCAAATCTAATAATGAAGTGCTATAGAGGTTCCTACTTCGGTGTTACAAATCTACAGCTAAAATTAGTATGGGACTCTTAAAGTATGATTTTTAGTAAAACTCCGTATGGAACTATTTTGACACTTTACAATTTGACATGATATTTTCAGATATATAACAATTCAAAAGAAGGTGTCAAACTTATTAACAAGGATCCAAAGAATCTAAGCCTAATATACGATTCATTGTTCTACCCCATAGATAAGCGTTGAGGAAGCCTCAACTGAAATTTCACAAACAAACAAATGTAGGCAGTCAAATAAAATGAAATCATACAAAGGTTGTGCATAAGAAAACAAGATCTGGATTCTATACAAAGGTTGTGCATAAGAGAACCCACGCTGAACTATACAAAGGTTCCAACAGATGATAGCTTAATTTTTCATTGCCACACTCAAGTGAACACTTTAAACTGACATTTACAGGCAACCTGCCTTCGTGGTATTAGGTCATAACTACCTTCATGGTCTTTGGACATGCATATCCTCTACCAACTGAAAGATATTCACAGAGTTCCAATCCATTTGCCCATTCCTTTGAAGGAAAATCCTTCAGAAGCCTAGGTTTGTTTTAATACACTTAAATCTCCTTCTATCTCTTTTTATAAATAAAACATAAGGAAAAAGATAAATGCAACATTCAAGGGCCTTCAACAATGCTTATCAACAATAGGAGAATATTAAAAAGAAAATTAGCAAATTATCATATGGACCTGCTTGAGCTTTTAGGCTTGAGGTGTGAAAAGGCACCAGATTTTACGTCAACAGATTCACCAACTGCCGCTGACAAAGCAAAAGGAAACTGTGGCTGTGCAACTTTGTCATCACTCTAAGAGACATAGTTAACCGCAGGAGAAGCTGCATCAGAATCCTTCATTGAAGTAACTTTACTCCCAAAGTTCAACATGGGAGTACCAGCATTTGATTCTTCTGCTGGGTATAGCCAAAAACTTTCATAATACAAAATGTAAAATAAAAGTACATAAGAGAACTTGGGTCATAAAGATATTTCTTTCCATTGGGTCATCAAGATACTTCTTCCCATT